TCTCTTTTTTTAGTCCTGTGGTTAGCTAACTTTAACCTTATCTCCTAAGGTAATTTGCTTAAGTAGACAGTTTCAGGGCATACAAAAGGAAAACTTTCATATTCTCTCTATGACTTTTATCATTTTCTACAAAGTGATTAGGAATCTTAGTTTATGTTATCAGAATGAAAAACTCTAAAAAGTTGACGGATAGTTTAGAAGCACTGCTGCTATAGAATTTGTGAGAGGAAGTTTGGACTTAATTTCAGCTGCAGATGTGTCTTTGATTGTTAATATCTCAATCCCTTATTGAAGTAATCGTAATGTGGCAAACTACTGGCATTCAAGAACTGGCACTCAAATGTATGAACAAGTGGAAAAATTATTATCTGTTTTCATCCCCTGTTTCAAGTGGTCAGTAACAATGAAATATGACAAATACAATGCTTCACTGATAAATTTAGTACACCACCATAAAGATTATTATAAAGACATACCTCAAAAAGCAGAGATATTTTCATAGAAGTCTAATTGGGCCAAGAAAATATTTCCCTGTGTATGATAAGGAGATTAAATAGGGAGCAGTCCCATTCTAAAATGATCTTTTAGTTTTCCCACCTTCAGTCTCCCAACATTGAAGTAGTTCTGTCTGTTGCATCAGATGCTGCAGACTGTAGGCTAGTGTTGCACAATGAACATATTGAATAAATTACAGATTCAAATTTCTTACACAGGATTCTCAGTACCATTTGGCAGCCTTATATATCACTGATTTAACTGTCTCCTCTTTCCTATAGCAGATATTTAGCAAATTTATTCCTTCAACAAATATTTCTTAAACTCCTGCTCTGTACCAGGCATTGTTCTAAGTTCTAAAGATACAGCAGTGAACAATAAGGAAAAAAACCTTGCCTTCATGGAGCTTACCTTCCAGCAAAATACTAAATACTACCTAAGCATTGGTTAACTATGGGCAGTTATAGTTGTTGATGGGTATATCTGTTTGTTTATTGAATCCTCATCATAATCCCATGAGGTATGTGACATTGCTGACATCATTATGCAGATGTGGAATCTGGAGCATAGAGAGGTAAAGTAATTTGCCGTTGGTCATACTAGTAAGTGGCAGACCCACAATTCACACTCAGACGACAGCCTGGTTCCAGAGCCTGTGCTGAGTCGTTGTACTGTACTGCCCCAACACTGCTATTTTAAGTCTTTATGCTTTTAAATCTGCCTACCTTTCTCTCCCTAGCAAAGTAGATCATCTCATCTCCTGAACAGATGAATTTGTGGCTCTTTGAAGTAAACTTCCTCAACTTGTCGCTCACTCCTTTACTAATCTGTCTTCATTTCTACTCGGCTTCACTTCATCCCTCTGTTTCAAGGAAGGGACATTCCCCTTCCCATCTAAAATTTGTATTCTGGCTTCATCCTATTTTGCCTCCTGGGGACTTTGTTCTCTACATTACTCTTCTCTTAGGGCTTTAGTTTCCATCTTTCCACTGACTTTCGTCATTCAGCAAATAAGCATTATCTGTTGTCGTTGTTGTTGAAAGTGTGTCTTACTCTTTGAAGAAGCTTTGTTGTTGGGAAAAATTTTTAAGTTCATTAATGTAACGATAAATGAACACTAATTGTTTATTGCCCTATTTAAATTCCAGGTGCTTTATATATCTCTGGTCCTTTTACCAACCTCACAGATCCTTTACAGATGAGGAAGTAGAAACTCAGACGACTCTGTAACTTTCTTAGCTTATGAATAGTGGCATTGAATTCAGATTTGTATCTGTCTTACTCCAGAATCCATTCTGTTTCTAGTATAGCACGTAAGTTCACCACAGTTTTTAAAGGACCTCCCTTGGTCCTCTGCCCGTCCCCTGTTGCTGTACAGCTCGTTTTTGTAGGAAAGCTTTTTAAAGAAAGTATGTAACATATGTAGACTCTTCTTGCCTTTCATTTACGTCTCAACCCAGTCTAGTCTGACTTCCACTTGATTAGATCCTCCAGAGAAGCAGAACCACCATCTGTCTCTCTCTCCCTTCCTCCTCTGTCTGTCTGTCTCGCTCTCTCTGTGTATACACACGGACCAGTAGGCTGGAAATTCAGGCAGAATTTCTTCTCAGGGAAACCTCAGGCTTTACCCTTAAGGCCTTCAACTGGCTGGATGAGGCCCACCCCCATTATCAAGGGTAGGGTTATCTCGTTTACCTAGAGCTGCTGCTGCTGTTCAGTCACTAAGTCATGTCCAACTCCTTGTGACCCCATGGACTGTAGCCCGCCACCCTCCTCTGTCCATGTGATTTCCCAGGTGAGAATACTGGAGTGGGTTGCCATTTCCTTCTCTAGGGGGTCTTCCCAACCCAGGGATCACACCTGTGTCTCCTGCTTGGCAGGAGGATTCTTAACCACTGAGCCACCTGGGAAATCCTTACCTAAAGTTAGTTGATTGTAAATGTTAATCACATCTGCAAAATACCTCTATAGTAACATGTAGGCTATTGTTTGATCAGACTGGGCAACCATAACCTAGATAATCTGACACATAAAAATAACCCACCATCTCAGCCTCTATCACTCTGTGGTGTCTTACTCATCACTAAATCCAGTGAACATTTTTCACATCTTTCCTTCCTTGGTCATTTTACATTTGACATTTTGGACCACAAATTACTTCTTGAAACTCCCCTCCATTGGTTTCAATTATGCTAATCTCTCTTCATTCTCCTCACTATTCCTTTTCTGATATTTCATTACTTGTCTCCCAATTCCTTAATTATTGATACTCTCTCCTATCCTTGGCCCTCATACTGCTCCCACAATTGATGTTTCCCAAAACTAAAATTCCATCTTAAGAGTTCTCTTCCGAATTTAGATCTGTATATCCAATTGCCTGGATGTTGCACACACATCTCAAAGATTGCTTGTCTAAAACTGGAATCTTAGGGTCCCCCTCTCAAACTTGCTTCTGCATCTCTTCTATTTTCTTAGTTTGTGGTACCCTCTCCACCCAGTTACCCAAGCCAGGAACCAGAGAGGGGTCTCTAACGTTTCTCCTATATTCACCATTTCAGACTTCGCATCTCCAGCCCTGTATCTCACCCAAGAGAGCTCAACCCTCATTTTCTCTCACCTGGAATCTTGTTTTAGTCTTTCTACCTCTTAGCAGTCTCTTTCCAGCTCCTCTACAGTGCTGCCAAAGTGATATTTTAAAAATGCAAATCTGTTTAATCATGTTCAAAATTCTTTTAGAAGCTCCTAATTGCTCATAGAATTAAGATAGAATTCTTCAGCAGGCATACAGAGTCCTCCTTGTCTAGGTCTTTCCTGCTGTTTATATCCCACTGTGCCTCACCACTTTCAGGCCGCACTGAAATGTTTATAGGGCCCAGATGTGCTCTGTTGTTTGCTTCCATGTCCTGTACTGCTGTTTCTTCTGCCTGGGATGTCTGCTACCTGTATTACTTCCCTGCATTCCTACCCCTACCAGGGGCATCTAGAAAAAGTATTTTAGTACCCAATTCAGTCTTCAATTTTAAAAAGCCTTCCCCTAATTCCATAAATAGATTTGACCATGCATTCTTTCTGACATTGTTACAAACTGTTTTCAGCTCTACTATAGCACTTGAAAGCATTAATCACTCAGTCGTGTCTGACTCTTTGTGGCCCCATGGACTATAGCCTGCCAGGCTTCTTTGTCCTTGGGATTTCCCAGGCAAGAATACTGGAGTGGGTAGCCATTCCCTTCTCCAGGGCATCTTTCCAACCCAGGGACTGAGCCCAGGTCTTCTGCATTGCAGGCAGATTCTCTACTGTCTGAGCCACCAAGGAAGCTGTAGCACTTACTACTGTATTGTTTATTTTTTATTTGAGTGTCACCTTTCAATGGACTGTGAACTCAAGTATTTCTATTGCCTGGCATGTAATAGGCTTTCATCAGATTTGAGGTGATGGTGGAGATGGAGCCCAGAGTGGATTACACATTTCACTTAAATAAGGCCATGCTTTATTGAGGAGTGCTGGGCTTGGACATGTAAAGTGGAGAACGGTAGACATTTCTTTATCCTCCTTTGTCCCTCCCAGAGTAGTACCAGATTTCTTTTGATCTATACTTTCTTATGATGTTTTGATACCTATTCTGAGCCTTCACTTTGCGTTTATTTTGTTTGTATCCTTGGAGCAGGTAAAAAGAAAGGAAGCTGCTAAATTGCTATTACAAACTCCCCTGTCCCATTTTCATTCCATCACAGGAGAAATCATTCATCAGCTTGTTCTCATGTGACTTGCGTCAAAGCCTTTTCTCAGCCAGCAAAAGGAATTTATGTTATAATGACAATATTTTTCCAAGTTTTTTAATCCTCCTATGTCCCCAAAATGTCTGTCTGCATTTAACATCAAATTAAAAACTAAAGCAGTTCTGTGTTAATCCTGAGAGAATAAGTAATGCTTTTTAAAGATTGCTAAAGGAATCATGAAGATTTCTTGGGTTTTTAATATGAAAATTTCAGGTGACCAAGGGCACTGCCATACACATTGGGGTCAAAGTATAGTAGAATGGTCAGCATCTCAATTTAGACTTACCTATTACTTTCTACTCTGAATACACTCGTAGAAGCTACTTGTGGTGTAACTCCTTATGTATTTAATATTTATCTAACTCTTGGTTTTTGTGGTTGAGTTTTGAAATGGGTGAAGAATCTACTTATTCTTTGCCCTTTACGGAATGTGATATCTTGGTTTTTATTCCATTTGTCCTCCTTACCCTTTACTTAATTTTACCTTATTGTTTTGCTTTGTGTTTCTAAAATAATGGCTTTGGCTTGTTTTTTCTTGAATGTTTCTGCAGTTTGATTTGAGTATCTGGCTTTGGGCACCCCTCCTGAACCTTGGACTCCATCTGTACTTGTGACTTATGGAAGGCAGAAGTCAGTGTTTTCTATGGAATATGACCTTTTTTTTTTAATATTATATATGTGTGTGTCTCTCCCCCCACCCCCTTCTTTTTTGGTTTCTCTTAAAAGACTGGAAAGAAAGCAGTTAAGGCAGTCCTGTGGGTATCAGCAGACGGACTCAGAGTTGTGGATGAAAAAACTAAGGTAAAAGTTTGATAAGCTTAAATGTTACTGCTCTTGTTTTTTTATCCCTGTGATCAAACATAATGCCGTTAAGACGTTGTAGTCTCTCTGTATCCTTCCACTTTGTCCAAAGTACAATCTTCTGAGAGACTGGTTAATGTTCAGAAAACCAATTTAGTTACTCATTTACCTTATGAAAAATAGAATTCTCTGAGCATTTTGTTCTACATGATATAGCATGTTTAGCTTACAGTGTATTTGCATTTAATGTTAAGATCTGAGTTCTATTTTTGTTCTGACACATTAAAAAATGTTTACCCCCACAAATTTGATGTAAAATATTATAGGCCTTTTGCCACTGTTAAAAAGAAAAATAGACCACATCTAAAGTTGCTTCTTGTTCCTTAATAAAACACTATTTTTAGTAAGTTATATTTGAACTCATTAACCTACTATTTAACTGAAGACTCAATTTAAGTGAAATCTTAAGGACTAGTAAATTGCTCATATGAGTTAACATTTATTTAAGAGTCCACACAATATCTTAAATATACATAGCATTTTGCATTAGAAAAAAATGATCCTAAGTACCTCAATAAGAATAGACATAGACTCTGCCCTTAGAAAGCATAAGGTGTTACTTATACACATACATTTAATCATTAATTACAACTTTCTAAGAGACCTGAAATCTGGAGAAATTTTAACAGAAGGCAGTTTTCAAAAAACAAAAATTCAGATGTCACCTGAAGGAGAAGAAAGCCTAGCAGGCAAAGAACAGTTTTCATGGGTAGCTTACCTGATATACTTTAAGTGATTTAATTTAGCTACATTTTAATTCTTTTGACTAAAGAGAACTGGTGGTCTTAGATGTACATTACAGTTGGAAACAACTATTATTTAAATTAGCTTTTTTAAAAAAACGTGTATAGTTTTCATTCCTGCTTTGGATGAAATTTGTTGTATGTGGAGGCTATATCTTTAGTTGCTGTACACAGTAGTTATTACTAGAAAGTGATGTTGCCCCCTGGTGGTTACTTGTAGCACAGGAATTAATTAATTCTCCCCACATTGAATGATAATAGGAATGGACCACTTGTTACTGTGGGACCCATCATGGGCAGAGAAGAAATGTTGCAAAAATGCGAATGATTGATAAAGGGCTTGTGCTTAGACTGTATCAGTAACTCTTGCATAGCAAGAGATACTGAAGAGGAAATGCATAGTAATCAAGGTTATGCAAAATAAAATTAGAATGAGCCAACAAAATTGCAGAACTTTTAAATGATTGGCAAGTTTGTTTGTGGAACAACAGGAATTCTCATAGTTATGCTTTATAAAAGTCATTTTGTTTGTATGCTTCAGCACTTCCAGCCACCACCTCAGCATCTAGGGATTTTAAGCCATTGGAATATCACACAGAAGCGCCAGAGAGCCTCAATATTTAAAAAAAAAAAAAAAACATTTTGCATGATGTTTACATTATATACTGTGCCATTCAGCAGTATTCAAAATTAAATGATAAGTTAATAAATACATAGAATTGTCTGGAAATGATGTTATTGAATGTAAGTTATATGGGGATTGGATTAAATTTATTTTTTGACATATACTGTAAAGTTGAACGTGGAATTTACCATCGTAAAACTAGAATCAGCAAGCATGTGTATTATAGAACATGAAGATGAAGTGAAGGAAAGAAACATCTGTGGAGAGTGCCTCTGGGGATCTCTTCTAGGTCAGATCCTTAGTATTCCGACTTCTGGCTCAGATTAAGCTCTTCCGCAGCCCTGATGCATTAGATGTAGGGATTCTGTGTTGTGAAATGAACATCCTGTGTTTCTTCTGAGAAACTTGATTGAACTCTAAAGTCCACTGTTCCTTTGTGTTTCCCTTTTTCTAGGACCTCATAGTTGACCAGACAATAGAAAAAGTTTCTTTCTGTGCCCCAGATAGGAACTTTGATAGGGCCTTCTCTTACATATGTCGTGATGGCACAACTCGGCGCTGGATCTGTCACTGCTTCATGGCCGTCAAGGACACGGTGAGTGCAGTAAGCCTGAATTGCATCATGACTAGCCTCAGTCACCAAGCTTCTTCCAGGTTGGCTCAGCCAGTTTCCGCTACATTTTTGACAAGTGTATGCTGTTACAGTACTTGTAAGCGCCTAAACGAGCCTGCTTTCACTCCTTTTATTCAAGTAGTTCACACTCTTGATGTAACCCTACCACTCACAGAGCAAGATGATTGGCTGAGATCCAAGATCATTAAAGGAAAGTAAAAGTGCTCTGGTGATGGTGACTGCTAAACTTTACAGAAAACTTTTCATTATTAGAACTGTTTTCAAGATCCTTACATGTATTTGCTAATTTGTGTGGGTAGAAGATATTGGTATTTGAAAGGTGCTTATGAATTTATTTGCTAAAAGACTCTTACCACAAGAACTGAGTTTGGAGTATATTTTTAATTAAAAATAAAAAAAGAAATACTAAATTATGGTACAGTGAGCTGTGCTAGAAATTGTTACATAGTAGAAATTTTTGGTTTTGTTTAAAAGTAGAGAATAATCAAATTTGTTATCTTTCATCTAAATTACCCAAAATTCTGATATGAAAAATGAGTCTCTTAGGTGATGAACTTAATTATAGTATAGCATTGAGTATGTAATTTCTGAGTTTTTAAAAGTCCAGACAGAGTAAGGCAGTGTAGCTATTCATAAAGGCTACAACTCAGTGAACTCTTGCCAAGGTTTAACCTAGAAGGGAAGTCGTGGTCATACTCTAATATTGACCAAAAGCTTTTTAAAAAGCAGTTGTAAAAACAAGTATTAGAAACTGAGGCTCCGAATCAGATGTAGGTTCCAGTCCTGTTTCTGGTTCTTAGTAGCCATGGGATTTGAGCAGGTTATTTAACGTTTTCTAAGTGTTGGTATCCACTTCTATAAGATGGAGATAACAGCTGTGAAGACTAAATTAGGTAGCAAGTGTAAGCACTCTTAGCATAGGACCTGGCCCGTGCTAACTGCTCCAAAATGGTGGCTGATGTTGTTAAAGCTGCTCCTCCTCGATTTGACACAAGTGCTTGAAAAATGGGGTGAAGTAACTAAACTACACTTTCTTCCTCTCTCAGACCGTAAGTCACAAAGCAGTGTATTTTGCTGTCACTGCACTTGTAAAATCAGAAGAGTTTTGCTATATTTTAAAACCATTCTGTTGTCAAATCATAGTCCTCAGGCTGTTTGACTCTGGTATCAAACAGTGATTCTTCTGTATCAGGATCACCTGGACAGCTCATGAAGTTAGATGGCTGGGGCCCACCCCAGAGTTTTTCCTCAGTGAATCTGGGATGGAGTTTGAGGGTCAGTCTGTCTTCAGGAACTTCTGCCATAAGGCCTAGCAGAAATAGTAAGCTGCTTTGGCCGATAGCTCTGTCCTTGTACTAGAGCTGTGCTCAAATGCAGATGGGTTCTAAAATTCTTTCTGCTCTCTCCTATTTCATGCTTCCACACCTACCCATTTATCATCCTGCTAAGAAGTTACATGGAAACTCATGTGGATTCACAAAGAATGAGTCTGTCAGTCTGTAAATGAGACTTTATGGTTTTCCGTCATGTGAAATCCTAGGGATAAAAGCGTCTCACACGTTTACCTCTCCTTATGATATCTGATATTGGCATATAAAATGCAGTGAAAATACTTACTCAGAGCCATATGTAGGAGCAGCTGCTTACATGGTATGATCTTGGAAACTCCACAGAAGGTTCCCTGTTCTCAGATATCTCTCCTCACTGTTAAAAGATGCCAGCAGTTATTGTATCACCTCTAACCCTTTTATTCCACAATAAATTAGGGATAGTATTTAAAATACAGATAACCCTGATTTAAAAAAAAAAAGAATCCATTGAATTTATTAAATTTACTCTAGATAATCCAGTGTATCTTTAAAATAGTATTTAGTTTACACAAACCTTCCTCTCCTCTCACACACCAAAAATTCAGGTTTATCTAATTCCTTTACAAGTAGAAAATGTGGCTGAAAACATGGTTTTATTTTTGCCTGTGTGTGGTTGGAAGGTAGAGTTGGGGTTTGAGAGAGCTAAAAAAAAATAGGGGTGATGTGGGAGAGAGCCTGTAAGCACTGAGGGCCCAAACAGGGCAAGAGGAGAGCATTCAGAAAGGGAGAGGGAGAAAGCTTAGCTTTCCTATGCCTGATTCCTTCTCATTGCTGGAGATCATTTATCTGAAGTTTTAAGTCTGTTCCTTTTGTTCCTAGACATATTGGCAGTAAATTTAAGCTCTGAAATTTGCCCTGTCTTTCCAGTTGTTGCTTAGAAAAGCATGGTAAATATTCCTATTATTCCCCTACATGGCAAATAGAGGTTTGGGTGTCAAGACTTAGGACCTGGAACTTTGAGCAGTGTCTTCTCAGCTGACGGCCAGAGCTGACACAAGTGACAGGGACCTGACTATGATTAATGAGAAAGTTTCGGTGGCCGCTGACAGGGCCCAGGTTACCAGTGCTCACTTTACCCAGTGCCCACTGTGGTAGAGGATCATAGCATTACCTAAGGTATTATTCATTTAGGTTCATTTGGCATAGTAATACACTAAAATCTGGTAAGCTGGAGTTCCTAACATTTTGCCTGTGTGAAAACAGACTTATTCGTGGTCCAGCTAATTTGTAGTTGTTGATACCATAACTCTAAAAATGTTTTTTAAACCTTCTGTTATGTACAGGGTGAAAGACTGAGCCATGCTGTAGGCTGTGCCTTTGCCGCCTGTTTAGAACGTAAGCAGAAGCGGGAGAAGGAATGTGGAGTGACTGCTACTTTTGATGCCAGTCGGACCACTTTCACGAGAGAAGGATCATTCCGTGTCACCACAGCCACCGAGCAAGCAGAAAGAGAGGAGATTATGAAACAAATCCAGGATGCCAAGAAAGGTACAATCTGTTCTACTACAATGTGTGTTTATTTAAACAGCTTTTCCCAACAGGTTAATACTTGGAAGCTGTCAGGGGCATAGAGAACTCTTAGCAATATATGAAGACCTTAAGAACAAAGCTGAAAATCTAAACAGAGGGGCTTGTTTAGTGGCTTCCAAGTATTTACTCTATGCATTCATTTTAACTACTTGGGGAAGCTGAGAGTACAGTTGAAGAAGCTGCAAAGACATTTAAAAGCAAAATTGGGAAAACCTGTATCCTGGAACAAATTTTTTTTTTTTTAATTCTGATTTAAATTGATCTCTATGAAAAACATTTGATCTCTATGAAAAGCAAATGCTATCAAGGACCTACATCTTGAAGGAAGCACAAGTCCCAGGTTAAAGGACCCACAGATGGTGATGCCAGGTGGAAATGCAGGCAGAGACATCTCAGTGATACTCTTATTAGATTATAACTGTTTAGTGCTTTCATGAAAAAAGGCCACAGATTTTGAGAAGTTGGCCCCTAGCTATTTTTTCCATAGCCCCATTAATTTTAGTGTGTGGTTTTGCAGAATGTGAGTTTTTTTAAGGTACACTTGGCAGCATAGCAAAAATGCCTGTCCAAACATTCTAGTTACTCAGGAGGCTGTTGTCTGAAGTTGAGTCCAGTGTATTTTAGAACTGAGTCATAGAACTTAGGGAAAAAATGCTTTGCATTCTTGTGTACAACTTGGGCTGAAACCCAAAACAAGGAGTATTTTGAAATTAAAAAGTTTGGTTTAAATATACATTAATAAAATTTTGCTAATTTTTTACTATTTTCTTTTAATTCTAAACCTGCCATTTTAGGTAACATCAGCTTCCCAGGGGGCACTAGTGGTATAGAACTCACCTCCCAATGCAGGAGCTTTAAGAGACAAGGGTTTGATCCCTGGGTCAGGAAGATCCCCTGGAGGAGGGCATGGCAACCCACTCCAGTATTCTTGCCTGGAGAATCCCATGAACAGAGGAGCTTGGCGGGCTACAGTCGTGGGATCACAAAGAGTCAGACATGACTGAAGCGAGTTAGCATGCACACATTAATCTAACACCCAAACAGCTCTTAATTTTTAAGCCAAAAAAAGAATATATGTTTTTATTTGTAATTATTGATTATGATTTTTTCATTTCTTATCAACATTTGTGCCAGGATACCAAAGAATAAAAAAAACACAGTGCTATTTTAATTAGACAAATGAATGTGTATAGCTGTTATTTAATGTGCTTCAGTGATTTTCAGACCAGAAGCATATTTTTTGATACCACCAAATAACACTTTTTGCTACATACATCAACTGCCAAGATGGTTGAGTCCTAGCATCTACAGAGGATAGTGAGGAGTCGGGGGGGAGTAGAGATTGACCGCAATGAGAGTGTGATATGGCAGGTATTCACATGGAAACAGTCTTGTATTTGTTTACTCCAATTTAAAATTTGACTTCTGTATGCTTTTATTCAAAAGAGCCTGTTGTCCGTGTCTGCTTTATGACAGTCTTTTAACATCTAATCACACTTAAGCTTGTTTAGACCCTTCTGACTCTGCCACTCCTAAAGTCCTCTATCCCCCCCACCCCCACCCCCACTGGCCAAAAAGCAAACAAATATTGAAAACTATGCACTATTGTTCTTTAAAAGACCTCACATTAAGAGTTCATAGGTACTGGGGTTTTTTGTTTTGTTTAGTTTTGTTCAGTGTTTTAATTACTACATGGGAATAAAAGATCTAATATTTGTGTCTTAGAAGATATACCATGTGACATGTAGTAGATTATTAAACCTTTTACTTACCTGAAAAATAGGAGATCTGAGCCCTGCTGCTAACCTGTCTTTTGAGATATATAGGGAAGTAGATGGGTAAAATGACCTAGGAGGTTTTTGGGGTTCCTCAGTGGTGTGAACTCAGATTATTAGAAGACACTGCCCTAAGGTCCTCGTTCTCCTCCTTTCTTGAGCTGATACAGATAAGACAGCTGTTGGTTCAGTGGCCCCTGGCAACACTGCCACCTCCCCATCCCCTCCCACCTCTCCCCCTCTGGATGCCACTGCCTCTCTGGAGATGAACAATCCTCATGCCATCCCACGCCGGCACGCACCAATTGAACAGCTTGCTCGCCAAGGCTCTTTCCGAGGATTTCCTGCTCTTAGCCAGAAGATGTCACCCTTTAAACGCCAACTGTCCCTGCGCATCAACGAGTTGCCTTCCACTATGCAGAGGAAGACTGATTTCCCCATAAAACACACAGGTAACGTGGCGTCTCCGACTCCCCAGGGCTCAGGCACTGAAGTGTCACATCACCTCCAGTGGAATCCCTGATCCCATCAAACTAGCCACCCCTCTTCTGAGGCTATTTGGTGGCTGTGCATATCTTGTATCATTTCCCATTGGCAGAGAATGGAGGTTCACAGAGAGAGATGGGAGTTGTTCATTTCTGTGTAGCAGTAGGTTAACAGAGCCACAATGGGAATTCCTAGTCCGAGCTACACGGTTTGTGATTTGTCCTGATGAAAGTGTACCTGCTTTCAGACATCAAGGATCTCAGGTTTCTCTCCTTATTCTGCCATTTGGGACCCAGCAGGGAATTAATTTAAAAGGCTTTGGAAACACATCCAGTTTAAATAGCACCACTGTCAGATGTACCAGAAGAAATGGATAAGTTCTCTTTGTCCTTGTGGCTGGTTGGCTCCATAGGGAGGAAACACTAAACGGGTCTCCAGTATAAATCTAAGATCTGTTGTTCATCAGAGACAGTGAGATTGCTCACACATATTCATTACCTTTCAGAGCTGTCACACAGGCCTTTGTGTGGCCTCTGTACAGCTGAGACAGCTCCAGTAGCTCTATCCTCATCATAAGATCCGGAGCTGCAGTGTCAGATCTGGTCAGTGCTTTTATTGGGCCCTATTTTACTTTGCTCTTAGACATGTTGAGCCACTGCTATAACAGAATCTGAGGAAGCTGTGTCTCAATAGGGCACTCTCACTGCTGGTGGCACAAAAGCACAGAGATTTAAGTTTTTTGATGGATAAAACTCTGCCTAAAGAACAGTTAAACTAGATCATTACTGAGGGTCTTACCCCCTCTCAACTCCTATAAAAACCAAAACTCCAGATGCTTTCAAGTACCTCATTTTCAATCTCCCTCTGGAGCAGGCGGGAAACAAAACCATTATTCTTTTCACAGTTGAGCAGACAGAGGTTCAACACATATAATTAGCTTCCTCCATGACACAGAAGTATTCCAGAGTCAATATTAAGAACAAAGCCTTTAGAGTCCTGGACCTCAGTTCACTTTTTCATGTTAACACTTTGGGGAAAAATGACAGTGATGACACTGTCATAGTTTATGACAGAGAAAAGGACTGACTGCCCACTGGTGCTCCTGACTTTAACCCGTTTTCTCAAAAGAGTCACTGGGGGCCTCTAGAACTTAACTCACATCTCCGGCTTGGGACCTGGTTGGAAGACAAACAGGTTGAATGTGTCTTCTAGAAAAATCTCACTGACTGAATGTCTTGGCACAAAAAAAGAACAGCGTATTCTCAACAGTGTCACACAGGAGAGGAAATACAGGAATCTGGGGATTCGCAAGGGAGGGAGGTAGACTTTAGTACAGGAATTGTTACCATTCTGTACCTTCTCATGCAAAAAGCCAGTGAATAAGTGGTAAGTTTTTTGAAGCTGCTTTTATAGCCCAACCTGACAGTTGAGTCTTTTTCTTCCACAAATAACAGAGGCAGTGTAAAATGCCACCTCATGTGACACTGTTCTGTTCCAGACTGGTTCCGTGTTTCTGTCTGGAGCCGTCTTCTGTTTGTCTTACAGTGCCAGAGGTAGAAGGCGAAGCAGAGAGTATCAGCTCCCTGTGTTCACAGATCACCAATGCCTTCAGCACACCCTGCGAGGATCCCTTCTCATCCGCCCCAATGACCAAACCAGTGACGGTGGTGGCACCACAGTCTCCTGCCTTTCAAGGTTGGTGCCCACTTAGCCTGCTCAGCAGTTCTCTTTGAAACTAAGACTTTTATGACACTGATCACTAATGTAAGTTGGCATCCTGAGCTTCCCAAGACCTGGTCAGACCCACCGCATTTTCCTGTTTGATATTGTCTCAGATTCGTTAAATTGCCCTATTCGACAGTGTCTTTGCGCTTTATTCCCTTCCTGTTTCCTGAGATTGTCTGCACTTTGCACGTACCTACCCTCCTTTCATTCCATCCTGTCAGGAGCATCAGTAGTCCCAACCCACTGCTTTATTTGCTACTTACCTGTTAAGAGACAAAGCACCCAACCAGTTCTCCAGAAACAGCAGTCATCAGAGTTGGTTCTAGCTTCATGCTTTCTTTACCACAGTAAAGAAAGCTGGGGTGATTTTGCCCCCTTGGGAAAAATTCAGCACCCATTGTCTGGAGATGTTTTGGGTTTTGCGGTGTGGCAGGGGGTGGTTACTACTGACATCCCCGTAGAGGCAAGGGAGGCCCATAAACATCCTTCCATGTACACAGTAGCCATCCTCACAACAGAGAATAATCAGGCCCAAAATATCAGTGGTGCCAAGACTGGACTCACCTAGACTTTGCCCGGTCACAAGAGTCCCATAAAGAAAAAGGCACCTCTCTCGGCTCTTCAGTTCATCTCATCTTCTATAATGAGTATCCTAAAACTAGTCTTTGTGGCATTGAAGAACTAGTAAAAGTTGTTTCCAGAGATACTGAATTAATAGTATTGACTCAAAGGTCAACAATGAGCCTGTATAACTTAAATTACAGATTTTAGAATTTGAGCTTATATAATTGATCTTCTTTATTTCTTTTGGGAGAGAGCTCAGAAGTTGTTTTGCTATGCAGACTTTTTTTGCCTGATCCTGTTGAAAAGCTGCAACATGATTTTCCTTCAGGAGGGAGTCTTTTTAAAAACAAAACCAAAAAACCCTTAATATTCATATGCATCAGGTGGCTTTTCATTTCATCTAACATATATTTATACTGCCAATAATAATAGGGATGTTTATTGGGCACTTAGCACCATGTCCGCCACATACATCATGATAAAGACTCATGCATTTTTCTCATCTCATTTAATTCTCACAATAGTCCTTTGAGATAAGCATCACAGCTAAGGAAAATTAGGCTTAGAAAGGTTAAGTAAATTGCCCAAATCACACAGCTAGGATGTAAACCCAAGTCTTTCTGAATATAGTTCCTATTACATTCAGCTGACTTTGTGCCTATTTACAGGGTAGTGGGTATACAAAACTATAGAATATAGTCCTTTTCCTGCCTTTAGAGGACTCACAGTTTTTGGATAAGCTAGTCTTTTAGACAAGCCCTGGGTTAATAGCACCAATGCCATAAGCATAGTTTGCCAAGTCCTACCTAAAGAGAGCATGATTGTGGTGTAAGGCAGGAGAAGGTGGCTGCTTGTCTGCTCTCTGCCAAGTATAGAGAGCTGGACAAAGGAGTAGAAGCTGATGGGACAGCCGTCTAGAGTAAAGGAGCAAGGGCTGGATTTTACTGAAGGGAGACAGGAAAAAACAGGAAGTGCCTTAAGACACACAAACATTACTGATGGGGAAAAAATCTTTTAAAAAGATGAAATTAATTCTGTAGCAAATTATAAATTAAACAAATGAAAACATGTACCACGTTTGATTTCTCAACTGTAATATGAGGTTTTTGAGAGAATTTATTGAGATGATGCACACTAAAGCACTATTATAGTAGTGCCTAGCACATAATAAGGATGATTGTATTAACCATTGTTGGCATAATTTGCTCTTTTGAAATAGTGATAGATGATACTTTATCATTATTGCAAAGGCTAAGCTATGTCTGGAATAGATTTTTGCTTCTTGTAATACAGGTAGTTCTTTTTAACTTAATTTGAAATTGTTTTTCTGGTCTTCATTACCTCTCTCTCCATAAACATGTTTTTCTAAAAGAGTCATTTAACTTTATCAGTACACCCATTTTAATTACAGCCCCTGATTCCGTCTTTGCCAAAAGGTTTGTGTATTCATTGCAGATGGCATGGTTATCCCACACCAACTTTTCTGTCTTATCTTTCCACCAGTACTGCATATTGGCCTGACTGACCCAGCTCCAAGGGGTCCCCTGTACACCCTGCATGAGTTAACTCCACCCATGTTGTCTGCTCCCATTGTAGCTAATGGCACTGACTCAGCCCTCCATGTGCTTGCTGCTGAGCCAGCCCCTACTGCTCTAGCACCCGTAGCAATGCCTGTGCGTGAGACCAACCCTTGGGCCTATGCCCCTGATGCTGCTAACAAGGGAATTGCAACCACACATTCGGGTAAGGTGACCACAGATGGTGGTGAGGATTCTGGGATCAGATAAGTGACCTTGATATGAAAATCAGCCATTTACCTTAGTGGCAACCAGGAAGGAGTCCTTTTAGGGAAAGTGGGATCCCTTTTGGAAATAAACTACTATTAAGGAAGGATGGTGTCAGAGAGGAGCTCTTAGAGGTTAGATTGATAGTTACCCTAGAGCCACCCACAGAGCTTTCAATAAGACACAGATTCCTGGGCCCTCCCTCGCAAGAGCCTGTGTCTGGGTCTGGGTCTGTGGACATGCCTGTAGGAAGAGACAACTCGGCCTCCTCCAACATCATGCCTACAAAAAAGGCTACAAAAAGGCAGTTCACCAGGGAGACGTGTGTTTGGAAGGTGGGCAGCAAGTCCCTGGTTATTTTCTTCCCATTGTGTTAGAGCAGAAGGTGAATCCCCTCGGCTCTTTAGAGTATGTGCGAGCTGGTTTCTGGACCACAGATGAGCCACACCAGTGGGGGCAGGGTTCTGATGCCAGCCAGCAGCTTTGGTTTTGTGCAGTTGAGCCATCTCTGCCAGCTCCCCGACATGGCTGAGGTAGACCACAGACACAGGCTGAGGTCTCCTGGGCTCTCCCTGTCCTCCCACAAAACCTTCTCAGCTGGTAATAGAGACTTTCCTCCCACCTATCAAGACCACAGACCATCCCCCTGGAGGGGCTTGTTCCACGTTACGATCACTCAAATAACCAAGATTATCAGGTGAAGAAAAAAGCCCCTGAAGATTCTGATTCTTCCCTCTCTTCCTCTTGTTGCTTCCAGGGACCGAGTGGGGTCAGTCTTCTGGTGCTGTATCTCCAGGTCTCTTCCAGGCTGGTCACAGACGCACTCCCTCCGAGGCCGACCGCTGGTTGGAGGAGGTGTCCAAGAGCGTCCGGGCTCAGCAGCCCCAGGCTTCAGCTGCCCCTCTGCAGCCGGTCCTCCAGCCGCCGCCACCCACTGCCATCTCCCAGCCAGTGCCACCTTTCCAAGGAAATGCATTCCTCACCTCTCAGCCCATGCCAGTGGGTGTGGTCCCACCCCTGCAGCCAGCCTTTGTCCCTACCCAGTCCTATCCTGTGGCTAACGGGATGACCTATCCAGCCCCTAACGTGCCTGTGGTGGGCATCACTCCCTCCCAGATGGTCGCCAACGTGTTTGGCACCGCAGGCCACCCACAGGCTGCCCAGCCCCATCAGTCTCCCAGCCTGGTCAAGCAGCAGACATTCCCACAGTGCGAGACAAGCAGTGCTACTGCCAGTCCCTTCTTTAAGCCTCCTGCTCAGCACCTCAACGGTTCTGCAGCTCTCAATGGTGTAGACGACGGCAGGCTGGCCTCAGGAGACAAGCAGACCGAGGCTCCTGCAGGCACCTGCACAGTGGATCCCTTCGAGGCCCAGTGGGCGGCCTTGGAAAGCAAGTCCAAGCAGCGTACTAACCCGTCCCCCACCAACCCTTTCTCCAGTGATTTACAGAAGACTTTTGAAATTGAACTTTAAGCAGTCCTTACAGGCTTATGTGTTTTGTCTGTACTTGGGCCCGGGTGGGGGGTGGAGGTCAGAGGAGCAAAGGGGACTTTGCATTCCCAACCTGTATGCTTTTCACTAATCCAAAGGTCCCCAAGGGCATGTCCAGGCATAGCATGTGGAAGTGGGCAATTGAAAAAAGTGGAGAGACCCATTCCTAGGGAAGAGCTGTTTTGCAGTTAGACTAAGAAAGTCAAGGAGCTGTCATCCTCTGCCCTGCCTCCTCCCTCAGCCACTTACCAGTCTCTGGCAACAGAGAGGCAGAAGTATCTGAACAGGAATCTGTATTCAAAGCACATTTACTGGAATATAAAACAACGGGAAGCGAAACGATCTCCTTTTGTTTTTCAGGCCTTTCACCTGCCTGCTTTCAGCACTGGCCTTCTTAAAGATCGAGAACACGGTGGCCAGTGCCGGGGCTGGGGGCGAGAGTCAGGCTGTGCTGCTAGAATTCCCAGCAGGGCCCATCAGGAGCTGCCCAGCAGAGCTGTATTTTAGGGGTAAAGTTGAGCTTCCATTTTGAGTAAGAATAAATATTATAAATATATATATCAAAAAGCCAAAATCTTTATTTTTATGCATTTAGAATATTTTAAATAGTTCTCACTATTAAAAAATTGTATGAGTTGTAAGTAATCTTGCCAAAGGTAAAAGGGTTAGCTGTAAGAAATTGTACATAAGATTGATTTATCATTGATGCCTACTGAAGTAAAGAGGAAGGGCTGGTAGTTGCAGGTGGGATCCCTAGCTCACTTGTTATCATTTACTGTAAGTAGCACACTGCAACAACAATCACGCTTATGACCAGTACGGTCAGCTTGGTAGTAGTTTTAAGTAAAGAGCAAGCAGTATTGTCCTGGTTTTACATCTGTAATGAAATTCTAATGTCATTATTTTAATGGGTTCAATCTAAATAGAAAATGTATTTTCTTTTCTATACTGCTGCAGTTTCTTTATGTTAATCCTTTAACACTAAGGTGACTGATGTAATCATATCCATGAGACGGGAACGCAGGTTACCGTGTTGTCCTGTAGGTCTTGGTCGGTTTTGTTTTGTCGTTTTAAGTTTTGTTCCCACGAGTTTTGTGGGGATGGAGGTCCTAGTCTTGTTAGCACTGTGTGTGTGTGCGTGTGTGCGTGTGTGTCCATCTCTCTCCTTGTGGTGAGCCGAACATCCTGTTGCCAGTTGTAGCCACTTGACCTCTGGTAACAACATAAGATCCCATCTCATTTTTACTTTTGAACGTTGGCCTTACAATCAAATGTAAGTTATATATATATATTTGTACTGATGAGACTTTATAATCTGCTTTAACAAAAATAAATGTTCGTGGTAGAAGCTTTTGCCATGAAGAGCTGTTCTTTGCCCTTTTCTCTATTAGCAAATGGGTTTCAGTTCCTTGTGGTCTTGTCCTCTTCTCCATTCTACTGCTTCCGCAGATCTCTAGTTTGATGGCTAGAAAATCTTTCACTGGGGCTGGCATACTCTTATTAAAGTTCCTGGTCTCTCTGTATTCATACTCGAGCCTCCGGTCATTCCTAAGCACATCTCTGATGTCAGGTTCTTGCTGCTCCAAGTGCAGACTTGAACCTGGCAGTTGTGTAGAGACACAGAACCTCTGCCCCAGCCCAGACCTGGTCGTCAGAATCTACATTTTAACAAGACTCACAGTCTGAGAAGTTGGGTTGCAGCAGTGACTCTGAACTGTGGATATGTATTAAAGTCATCTGGGAGCTTTTAAAAGTCCTCATATCCAGCCCAATTAAAATCTCCAGGGAGGAGACCCCCAGGTTCAGTTCTTCAGAAAGCTCCCAGTGTGAGAACCACTGGTCACCTTATCCCGCCACTCTGACTAGTTCCAAGAGCTAGCTAAGGTCTGGAGTGTGCCACCAATTTGCCAAATACTGATTTAACTAGAGAACAGCAGAGTCCAAGAAAGTGGCCCTTACCTTCCAATTTCTACAGCCAAACCAGCCATGGTACATGGAAGGGGATGCACCTCAATGTATTTTAAAACTGGAAGGAAGAAAAGACCTCTGTCCCGGCCCATGTTTCTGTTGCTGAATGAGAGGTAGACCAAGAAGTATCACTCACCCATGAAGCAATCGTTTCTTTTCCAGCCAGTGCTGGTAATAGAAATCACCTGTCCCGGTAATGCTGGTTTTTCCTGTGTCTCAGAAAGACCTCTGTTACTAGGCCCAGCCTCTCTTCTGGGGGATTGGTAGAAGGTTAAAGAGGAAAGGAACTTGGAAGCTCATTGAAACCAGGCCTCTTGTCTTAGCATCAAGGCCTTAAGAGGCTGAGAAAGGAAGAACGACCTCCCCCAACTCTGAGACCACTTCCCTCTTCCGTCTCAACGCCGCTCTCCCTTCCACTGGTCCACCTGGTCCTGCTGGTGCTGTTTTACAAGAGCCTGGGTTTTAGTTTTCATTATCTCCCACTTTGCTGAGGGCTTTCACCAACTTTGTGCAGTTAACCATAGGCACAGATGGGATCTGAAACTGGTCACTATGCTCCCTAGGAAGGGCTAGAGACTGGAGCAATGAACATCTGGACCCCAGATGGGACCTAGTTCTAGCAAAGAATGTTTCCCTAACACACACACCAGGAGTCAGTTACCTTCCCCAGACAGGACACACCTCCCCACCCAGCTTTCAGCAATGTGAGAACCCTGGTAGCTGGCTTTAAAAACAGTGAGCTGATCCTGGATAACAAACTGGAGAGAGAAACTGTCAAGTGAAAGGTGTCCTTATTGCAAACAAGACGCCACTTCTTGACAGCCCAGCAGGCACCGGTGGTCGGGTCAGAGAAGCCGAAACCGCTGGCGCTCCATGGCAAAGGGCAGATCTGACGAGGCCAGTGTCTCTGGAGAACTCCCTCCTTCAGCCAGAGAGGGGAGACCGAGAGCCTGCCTCCTCCTCCCAGCGCTATGAGCTGTGTCCCTGCTGCCAGACGGGCTGCGCAGGCGGCTGGACACGGGAGCAGCTGGCGCAGCAGAAGCTGGAGTAGTACTCGTTGCCGCAGAGCCGGGCCTGCAGGATCAGGTCACAGTTGGCCAGCTCCGGCTGGTCGACACAGTCCCTGCTGGGGTCCCGGGGCTGGGCGGCCAGTGCTGCGAGAAACCGGTGGGGAGAGGGTGGTAAGAAAGCTCCGTGTGGCTGGAAACTCACCTGCCTTGTCATTTCCCTAAAGGAGAGCAGCACTGTAACCGCCAGGTTCCCAAAGATGCTGGGTCACTGTACCCCGGTAACACCTGTATGTCCAGCTGAGGCCCCACAGTGTTCACTGCTATGGGCCCCGCTTCTGCGTGCAGTGGGCCTCCTGTCACTCTTTCGGAGCCCTCTTCCCCCTCCACCCCCACCACTCGCCCCAATGCACAGCCCATCGCAGACCCCCAGATACTGACTCTCCAGCTGATTAAACATCTCTGGAAGTCAGCCACCTGCTCTGACTACTGAAACCTGAGGAGCCGCATGAACATGGCCGTGGCCTCGACAAGGAGAGCGGGGTCGGCCCCAAGCACAGTTTTGAGTTGGCGAGAGCAGCCTGCTCGCTCTCACTGCTGATTTCCTCCCACTTCAAGCGTTTTGCTTTCAGTGGCCCCAGCTGAGTCACTTAGCTCCCCAGCTTTCTGGCTGTTCCCACTTCCCCAGAGACAGCAGAGCCTGTCAGGCCGGTGATGGGAGGACAGGCTGCGACCTGCGGCGCTGACGCAGCCCTGAGCACAAACCACCGGGTGCCTCCCTCTGAATCTGCTCGGTGCTTCCGTAGCTTACAAATCACTGGGCATTTCATTCTGCTGCTTCGTCTTTGGACTGAAGTCGCTTTGTCTAGTTAACCTCCCTTTTCTTTCTGGGAGGGGCTCTCAGGGCTCAGCTTGGCTTACGCCTGACAGCACCTCCCCAAAGTCACCCCACGGGGCTGCGGAAGCCCCCCTCCACGCCCCCTCCCCACATACAACTAACAGACAACACCTAACCAGCCTACGGCTTTGTGAAGGCTTGGCTCATCAGTGTAACAAGAGTACAAACTACCTACATTTACATAAAGAACAAGCCACTTTGGTTATCAACCTAATCTCAGCCATCACAGCCAGAGGAGAGCAGGTGCCGGGCATGGTGGTGCAGGCTGGGCACCATCCTGGCTCTGCCCCTTCCAGCCGGGGGACTTGGGGCAAATGGTCACATAAGCTCTCCATGTTTGCCATCTCATCTGGAGTTAATGATAGCAACTGAAGCACACAGTAACCATGGCTAAAGTAAACTAGCACGTAACTGGGGCATTCCCATTCCGAAAAGTGTGAGTGACCCCCGCCCTCCCATGTTTTAACCTTAGAGTATTTTCTGTTTCTCACCCTAAACCTTTAGGTAAAAAGCTTGACAGCACTTTGTTGTATAGCAGAAACTAACACAACATTGCAAAGCATTTACACTCCAATAAAGAAAAAAAAAAAGGAAGCTTGCAAGGTGTCCCCAGTAGAACTATGTTCCTTACACCAGAGTGGGACCAGCTCAAGGCCCCTCCCCCTGATACTAACACTGCAGTTCCAGCATGCCACCAGACCATGAACCCAGGGCACAGCGAGGCAGCCTCAAGCAGTGAAATGCCACAAAAAGCTTAGATGGGTGACGGCAGATACATACGGCTTAATTGACAGAACGAGCACAGGTAAAGGAGAGAGGAAGATACCTTCTCCTTAAAGGTGCCCTCCTCCCCCAAAGAAAGTGTCTCAGATTACCAACACTCATCCAACAGGGGGCAGAAGAAAGAGAGCCGGACTGAGGCCATAAGTGTGCTGTCCCGGAGGCAGTCCCATCACACCATTTCCTCTTGGTGACCACGCATCATTGGGAGCCCCACCAAACTTCAGCGTCAGCTGAGCTTCTGGTTCCAGCTTGGCTTCCCATGCAGACACGCTGCTATGTAATCACAGACATGCCCATCTGGGGGGCCTCCCGACAGCGATCTTTCTCACTTAAATCTGCACTCTGGCCTGTCTCAAGTCTTGTAAGTTTGGTAAGTACATGGATAAGAGATCTATCTGCTGCGCACGATCGAGGTGAAAAGCGGCCCCTGCAGGATGGTGCCTTCGCCAAGGTATCACCTTCACGCACATGCACTCAGGCTGAGTGCCCAGTGATGCCAAGCCCTGCGCCAGGCCCTGGCTGGGTCCCAGTCCCTGTCTTCATAAACTGGAAGCCCCCCATCAGTCCCGCTCACTAAGCTACATTTCTACCAGACTGCAACCTCTAACCTGGCCAGTTCCACACTCAGCCTGGCAGACAGGAGGCAGCCAGGCCCGACGCCCTGCGTGGCCCTGGTGAAGTGCTACAGCCCCGACAGCCGCGACCGTCCAGGCCAACCAGCACCACTGGGCCCTGGCGGTTCCCTCCCAGGGCTGTTTCAGGCCACATGACCACTGGCCCACCCCAAGTCACGCAACCGGGAACTGGCAGAGCCCCTCCAACTGCAGAGCCCATGCCCTCCGCGTCCAGCCACACACGGACAGCTCCCGAAGACAAGCAGGTGCCTGGGGTGGGCCTTCCTTACCTGGCGGGACCACCTTCACCTCGGTGCTGCGGCTGACGGCCTGGCTTCCACGGTAGGCGCTGCACGTGTAGGAGCCCTCGTCCCTGGCCCGCAGGTTGTGGATCAGCAGCGTGCCGTCTGGGGATTGGTGCACGCGGTGGCCGTCGGCCCGCACCGGCAGCCCGTTCCTGGAGGAGAGAGGATGCTGGGAGAACCTCCAGGCCCTGGGGGTGCTGAGCTGGTTCTCCCGGGGAGGAGGCAGTCTAAGGCCTGCTCCAGAGCCGCCCACTGACCCAGACACACTCAGGGCAAACCTTCTGCGAGCCTGGGGGACACTGGGCCATTTCCTGCCTGGAGTGTCGGGGTTGGGGCTCAGGTTACCCCAGGATCCCCAGGGCCTAGCCTCGTCCTGACATACTACAAGGAGGAAGGGGCATCAAACTGTTTGCTGAATGAATAAAAGCCCAGCAGACTTGGGGTAAAAGACCACCTGAAGCCCCGTGTTTCTCAGCCCAGCAGAGCGTCCGCCATGCAGGGGACATCTGGCAACACCTGGGGACTTTCTGCGGCCATGATGTGGGAGGGAGTGCTACAGGTACCCCGAGGCTGGATGCGGCTGAACACCGCCCGACGCACCCCGACAACCAAAACTGTCAGCCCAAAACCTCAACAGTGCCAAGCTTGAGAAGCTCTGGTGTGTAGCCTGACCAGCAGAGAAGAGAGTGGTCCTGGGGGGGCTTCCCCATAAAGGGAGGAGGGTGCTGTAGCCCCTTCCCCTGACACCAGGCCAGGAGGCGGGAGTGGAAAGGGGGAGGGGTGCTGGTGGCAGCAACGTTCTGCACAAAGGTGGACCCCCCCACCCCCACCCCCCGTTTGGGCTGTATGAGTCCAGGTGTGAGGGCCTGAGGGCCAGGAACAGCCTCACCTGGACCATCGGATGTTCACGCTTTCTCCCGCCACCACACACAGCAGCCTGGCCGTGTCCCCTTCCGGCACGGCCATCGTGGAGGGCAGCCCTGTGATGGTCAGCTCTCCTGGGCCCGAGGAGGGGGGACAGTCTCAGCCATGGCACGCCCGCGGTGCCCCTCCGGACCCCAGAGGCCACTGGCCACACACACCCGCCCACTCAGGCTGCGCCTCACCCAGCACTCGGAGCTGGACCCAGCGCTGGTCTCGGTCATGCCTGTTGAACGCGATACACGTGTAGAAGCCCCCGTCCTCCACAGCCACGCGGCTGATGACCAGGGAGCCGTCGGACTGCAGCTGGTGTCTGCGGGGGCCAAGCACAGTCAGTGGCTCCACCCCAAGGGCCCAGGTGGGTGAGGAGGTGGTAGGCAGGGTCCCCCCTCCCCTGGTGAGAGGCTGAGTGGGCCCTGCTGGTCAGCGGGGTCTGACCATCCTCCAGCTGCTGGCACTCTCGTTTACTTAAGGATACCTGACTTTAAAGCCTGGCAACAAGCAGATCATTTCATTTTCGGGTACAAAGTAACTCTGGTTTGGGTTTCTAGTTTTTTTCCTACGCTCGTTCATTAGGCTCAGTCCTTAGCTCAGTCACTTAGGAGCTGGTGCTGTTAAGCTTCTGTGTGTCACATGCGGATGAAACAGCGCCCCTTTAGCTCTCCTGCACGTCACGTGAAAGAGACTAAGCCTCAGCATGGGCTCTTAGGATCACAGTCAGCAGGGCGTCTGCCTCCGCTTCCTCCCTCGGCCATCACCTGTTGGCCGGCCTCTTAAGATTGTCCACTAGCCACACTCTGGAAAGGCCCAAAGACCCCAGCGTAGTCTGCCCAAGGAGTCCTCCGCCCAGCAACCCCGTCTCGAGAGGCCCTGGGGTCCCGCTCAGGTCTGACCAGGGGACGGCATCTACCCAGATGGGGCGTGGTCAGAGGCAGGACAGGGGAGGGGAGCTGAACGAACCTGGGGGAAGAGAGAGGCTGCCCGTCTCTCTGCCACTCGATGGTCGGGGGCGGGAAGCCCTCAGCACGACAGGTCAGCCGGACCCGCTGGCCCAGCTGGGCGTCCAGCACCCCAGGCTGGCTCCGGTCCAGACGCACCCTGCAGAGTAAGCATTGCTCAACCGTGAGGGGGCTCCTGCCCTGCCTCCCCCCTGACCACCCTCCTGCCTGGGGACGGGACCCCTACCCGGCCTCATGAGCCCCTTCTCCACCCAACCCTGACCAGATTCTGCTCTCCAGCCTCAGCCCTTTGTTCTGGTTGGGAGACACCGCCAACCGTCGGGGACCCAGGCTCAAAGCCAGCTCCGGCTTTCTTATCTCCACCACCCAGAATTTCTGCGTTCTGCCCGCCCTGCACCAGGTCCTTGACGTGGGCCCTCCAGCCCTCTGCGCCCGCTCTGTAAACTCCCCTCCTCAAGGCTGGCTCAGCCCTCTAGCTCCCGAGGCCGGGGCCAGCATGGGCTCCACTCCCCAGTGCTCATGGTGGTGGGCAGGACTCCCCACCCCTGCCTCAGAGGCCGGGCTCCGGAAGCCACGTTCACCTCGCCATCCCCTCCCAGAGCCCTGAGCAGGCGGTCGGCAAACCTGGTCACACCGGCCCGGGGACTGACCGCCTCGCCCTCCTCTCACCCACCGAGCCCTCCCCTGACCCTGGCCCTCGGTGGGCCAGGCGGACGGCAGACAGCGCTGAGCACCCGCACCTGGTCAGGGGCCACGGGTGCAAGGCGGCGGCGGGGCCCCCGAGGCTGGGGTCCTGAGGCCTGTGGTCCTGGGCTGGGTCCCTGGTCTCGGGGAAGGGCCTCGGTTCAGCCTCAGAAGGCACGGCCACGTCACCCCCTGCTGTGAGGCCAGAAGCAAGGTGTGAGCTGTGGGGAGAAGCGGGTGGAAGGGAGGGTGCCCATGAGGCTGGCAGGGGAGGGCCACACAGGGCAAGACGCCCGCCCCAGGCGACCCAGAGCGCGGGGGCTCCACCACCAGGATGCCATGGCCCGCTTCCTGCCCTAGTCCTCCAGTGTGGGGGGCGCCCCAGCCGGGACTCCTACTCAGGGGCACAGAAAAACCCACATGACGTGGTGGGGTTGGGACGAGACCTGTGACGCGAAGCTGGACCTGCTGAGAGTGACGGTCCGGCCCAGGGCCGCCGCAGCTGTAGGTGCCCGCGTCCTCCGCCCTCAGGGGGCTGATGACCAGGGAGCCGTCGGACTGCAGCTGGTGCCTGAGGGCGGGCAGGGGGCTTGAGCGCTGTGTCCTGAGGCAACAGCGAGCCCGGCTCCCCTGACCCTGCTCTCTCACCCTCCCATCCTCGGGAATTGGAGGGGCTGGGCGGGGCAGCGGGCTGGCTGCACCCACCTGTCAGAGGAGACGGGCCGCCCATCTTTCTGCCACCTGGAGTGGGGGCCTGGGGAGCCGTCCTCGGAGCAGAAGAGCCGCACCAACTGCCCCAGGGGCGCCTGCACCACGGAGGGCTCCGAGCCCGCCAGAGTGATCCTGGGAAGGTGGGACAGAGGGTCACATGAGGGCCAGCACCAGGGACTATCCCTTCATCAGTGCATCCCCACAGAAAGCCCGGTACCCCGTCATGGGTACCAGAGGTACTTCTCATGGAAGCCATGCTCCAGAAGCCTGCAGAATCAGGAATCCACCCTCCCCACTCCACTGCGAAAATACCCACAGGCATTATGCCCTCAACTTGTTTCCGCAAGAGCACATAATATGGACCTCCCTCATGGTCTCATGGTTAAGAATCACCTCCCAATGCAGGAGACACAGGTTCAATCTCTGATCCGAGAAGAACCCACATGCCAAAGGGGAACTAAGTCCATGAGCCACAACTATTGAAGCCCGCACGCCCAGAGCCCGTGACCCAGAACCAGGGAGTAGACACTGCTCACTGCAGGCCGAGAAAACCCTGCACAAAAAGACCCAGCACAGCCAAAAATAATGAGCACAGAATAGGCACAGAACCCCAAGACGGAGAGTCTGAGAGAGAAGCAGCTGGAGAACCAAACACATGCCTGATCCCTTGGGAATTCAAAGTTTGATTTATCGTTTTTAATCTTCCCACCTCTCATGAATATGACACAGCCGAAGAGTGACGACGAACGGGACCCACACTAAACCTATGGGACCATGTCACCATTTACAGGTCGAGAAACTGAGGCTTCGAGAAGCTGGATGACTTGTCAAAGGGCATGAAGCTCTTAAGCTTCAACTAGACAGGCCCTGGATCACACCAGCAAGATCTGCTGGAGAATTCATGTGCCACCATCCACCCGGCCCTGGGCAACCCTCATGTCTCCAAAGCCTGAGGTTCCCCACCTGTGAACGATGGTACCAAAGCCCCCCAGGCTGGAAGACTCCTGGTGAGAGATGGAGGGAGGCCCAGCTGATCTCAGGGTTTTAGCCCTAAAAGGCTCAGCCCCTGGCCCCAGGCCCCATCCCACCCGGGGAAGGGGGGCCTCACCTGTAGGAGCCGCCACGGGAAGGAGGCGCTGGTCGTCCTGCGTCTCCGCTCAGTCCAGGGGGACTGGGCCCAGTCTCCTGGCCCCAGGGCCCCTCTCCAAAGGCCTGTCTGTGGTTTGTCACCCCCAGCCCAGGCTCTTGGTCTCGCCACCGGAGGCCACCGGAAGGCAAGGGTCTTCTCTGGACCACAGGCCCCAGCCCATGCTGGCCAGCCTCCTGCTGGCCCCCAGGACCGCTGCCGCCACCATCTCCGTGGGCGCTCTGGCCAGAGGCCCTGGCCCCAGGCTGGGGTCCCCGGCAGGCGCTCACACACTCTTCTTCTGAGGCAAAGTTGTTGGCGTTGCCGTGGCAGCCGCCGTACCAGAAGCGGTTACACTGGCCCACGGAGGCGACGAAGTACCAGCGGGCGGCCCAGTCGGTGCAGGAGCCGTGGGCGCTGGGCAGGAGGCACCGCACGGGGTACGCTGAGGGGGGCAGGAAGCACGCAGGTCACCGGGACCCAGTAGGGAAGCTGCAAACGCGGCCCGGGACTCAGGAGCGAGGCCCTCCCCAGCTTCAGCTTCAGCACACATCCACACTACTGCCGGGGCCCTTGACAGGCTCTGGGGACAGACTCTGCTCACTGCCCTGGGACCCCCAGCAGAACCAGCCTGTTCTGCACCCCCAGAGCTGGAGCCCTGCAGAGGATCAGGGCTGTGACCTCCCTGGACAGGCTCCCTCGTGCTCCTCCCCACCTGACCCAGGCCCCCCGGCCCCCCAGTGCACACAGAACAGTCCCAGAGCCAACCCTTGACATGCTTCACGCAGAAGCACCAGCCCTGAGCCCCCACAGGCTGCCAAGATGCCCAGGGAGGGGGCCCACCCTGTTCCTGGGCCCCTGAGCAGCTCAGAACCTTCTCCAGCCCCCAGCCCAGCCATCCTTCTCCACACTCAGATGTGACCCTCCAGGCCCCACACTTAAAGCCCCCCCCCCACCCAGGTGCCCAGCTCCCTGCAGACTCTGCCCCCTGGCTTCCGGCATCCCCGACGGTCCTTGGCACATGGGCACCCATGCTGCCACGTCACAGGCCTCCCTCCAGGAGCATCCCAGGCAGGGTGGGCACCCCATCCATCCCAGCCCTGACCCCCGCCACACCCCGCCTCTGGAGGAGGCTGAGCCCCAAGGGGCAGCACACTCCGTAGACTCCTCACTGACCACGCTCCCGGCTCCCACAGGCAGCCAGGCGGCCGCGAGTGCAAACTCATGGGGGAGGATGACCTGTCGGGCAGGATATTCCAGCACCGTTCTCCAGCCCGGCTCCTGGCAGGTGCCAGCAAGTATTGGTGGAAGAAACGAGTGATAAGCCAGCCAGGAGGAAGGTCGGGGGCTCTGGCGGGGGTTGGGGGGAGGGGAGCAGAGTGGGAGGAGAGCCTTCCCGCCAGGAAGGATGAGGAGGATCGGCCACTCACCGGAGCTGGGCTGGCCCACACAGCCTTCCCCCAGGGGGCCCGCCGCGGAGGCCACGTGGTCATAGCAGCAGCCAAACTGGGAGCCCCGGCACTCGCTGGGCTCATTCTGCTGGGCCTGGGGCCGGTGGGCACTGGGGACCTGGGGAGAGAGCCCAGGATTGGGAAGTTAGATGGAGGTCTGCCTCTTGGTGGGAGGACTCCAGGCTGCCGGGGGGAAGATGGCAGGAAGAGAGAGGGACAGAACTGTGACCCCATCGAGCAGAACCCCAGCCCTGGAGATCAGACCCTGGAGGAGGTCGGGTAAACCCCCAGCCCGGGCCTGTCGCGGAAGCCTGTGCCTTTGAGAGGACGAGCCAGGCCAGCGAGCTTCAGGACCTCCCTCCTCAAGGTCAAAGCTGCCAGGAGCCCTGGTCACAGCGGCACCGAGCAGGCCCGCGGGCTGGACTCGTGGCCCTGGGGTGAGCAGACACTCACTGCAGAGGCCGCTGCTCTCGATCCTGGCCTGCCCCCGGCGTCGTCGCGTCTGTGAGAGCTCGTGCAGCCTGCCTGATGGGGCCCCTCGGCCACGGTCACCCCGTCAGGGCAGCACCCGAACCTGGACAGACATCACAGCCCTGACTCCCACCCCACCAGGGACCCTGAGTTCCAGCACCCTAGGATCCAGGCTCTGAGGCTCCCTGAGCCGGGGGAGGGCTTGACCAGGTGAGGATCCGAGTGGGGAGACGGGGGGTCCTGTGTGCAAGGCGAACCATGTGGCGAACCCCAGTCTCTGCCACATCCACTCACCACCTAGGGGCTCCCGGGGGGGCAACAGGAAGACAGTAAGCGGAGCTGAGCCCTTAATAATCGACAGATGCTCAACTTATACATCCCAACACAAAATCCAGAAGGTGGAAAGTCACCGGAGCTGTCCAGACACCAGGTTCCCAGGGAGGTTTTACAGAACAGAGGCAGCTGGGAGAAGGGCCAGCAGAAGGGGTCAAAGGAGCCCCTGGCTTACTTCCCCTCCACCAACCAGGAGGCGGGGAGGGAGGTGAAGGAAGAAACGTGTTGAAGCCCCTGTGTGCCAGGCACCATGTGATCTGGCCCAGCCTCACAGGGCCCGTCACTGGCTGTCACTGTTCCCAATGCTCAGCAGAGAAAGCCAGGACCAGAGAGGTTAAGTGACTTGGCCCAAGTCACACAGCTGGGTTGCTGGCTGAGCTGAGGCTCACCCCCAAGCTGCTGACTCCAGAATCGTGGCCCTTAGCACCCCAGCCCGAGAGAGCTGATTTGAATCACAGAGCTAGAATTCACCCCTACTTGCCATCCCTGAGCCTTAGGCTACATCTCAACAGGCTGATCTCTGCAGAGAGAGCTGGGCAGTTGCGGGGGGGGGGGGGGGGCGGGGGGGGCAGGGCAGGCTTTTATCCCCACCCAGCAAGTTAGGGAGCTCAGTGGGAGGGGGAGGAAGCCAAGTCCCCAGTTCTGCCCAGACTGGGCAGCTCAGGCACAGCGGCCCTGGAGTCCCGCTCCTGAGTTCTGCTAACCCACCCCACCCGCTCTGAGCAGAGACACTGCCCCGCCCATCAGACACCCCCCTGAAGATACACCTTCCCTCTCTGACCTGGGGAGCGGGGAGAGGCACCCACCTGCTCTGCTGACACAAGGAGGCCCCAGGGCAGCCCTGCCACTGTGGCCCGAGGGAGGCAGTGTGGCCGTCGGGGCAACACCCGTGGGAGCTCTGTCTGCAGTCGTGGGGCCCTGAGCCTGGCTGCAGAAGCTGCCCGTATGAGGAGAGCTGCAGGGATGGGGCGGGGCCCGGGGCTGACGAGGGTGGCCTCTGGTCTCCTCTGGGGTTACCCCGCGCTGAGGGCTGCTCCTGGGATGCCCACCACTGGTCTCTGAAATCTGAAAAGAGGAGGAAACAAAAGACCCGAGATGTCTTTGCCTGCCTCCTAACCCTCCGTCTTTGTCCATGTCAGACCCTCCTCTCCACACCCCTTCCCCCCCAGAACCACTTGCCCCCACCCTCAACATCCACCCCAAAGGCCCCCGGGCTTGGGGGCTTCCACCAAGCTTCTCACCTGAGGCAGAGGCCTCCCGTGGGCCCAAAGACATCTGGGGGTCCCTGGGGCTGGTGTGCACCTCCGGCATGCTGGGGACCTCTGCAGGGAGCCGGGGCGTCAGGGCGCAGAGGGAAGGCCACCCCCCAACATCTGCTCCCTCCCCACCGCTCAGGTGGGACCCAGCAAACTCAGGAGAACACAAGTGAAAAGGAACAGGCTTGTGTTTTTGTCAACACCCTTTCTAGGTTTCAAGAGAGTCTCTCATCACATAGAAAACGCCCATTTCATGTGTTTGACAAAGAGAAAAGCTGCACGTAAAGAGAGCATTTATGTTTAATCCCAACCACATACAAAATGGTAACACAAAAGTTTTTAATTGGATTGAGGAAAACATAATCCAATTTTTAAATGGGCAAAGAACTTGAACATAAGACTTTTCCAAAGAAGACACAGGGATGGCCAATAAGCACGTGAAAAGATGCTCGATACCATCGGCCACTAAGGAAAGGCAAACCGGAGGCACAAGGAGACCCCCTTCACAGGTACTAGCATGGTTCTAATCAGAAAGCCCGAGATAACAGGGTCAGCAAGGATGAGGATGAGGATGGACCCCTCACGCAACTGCTGGTGGAAATACAGAATGGTGGAGACACTGGAAACAGTCTGGCAGTTCCTCAAAACAGTTACATGGTAGCCTAGAAATTCCACTTCTAAGTATAAACCCAAGAGAACTGAACACATACACCCACACAGAAACTTCCACATGAATATTCATAGCATCATTATTCACTAAAGCCAAAAGGCAGAAACAACCCAGATATCCATCAACAGATGTGTGGATAATCAAACCGGGTACATCCATATGACTGAATGCGATTGAGCCATAAAAAGCAATGAAGTGCTGATTATGCCACAACTTAGACGAACCTCAGAAACATTCTGCTCGGTGAAAGAAGCCAGATGCAAGAGGTATGCTGTTCCTTTTATCTGATGTATCTAGAACTGGCAGATCCATAGAGACAGAGATCTGACTACCAGGGAAGGGCATCAGGGTTAATGGGGAGTGATTAATTGATGGGTACAAAGTACTTTTATGGGGAGAATTTTTGAAACTAGAAAGATTGAAGGCAGGAGGAGAAGGGGATGACAGAGGATGAGATGGTTGGACCGCATCACCGACTCAATGGACATGAGTTTGAGTAAGCTCTGGGAGTTGGTGATGGACAGGGAGGCCTGGCGTGCTGCACTCCATGGGGTTGCAAAGAGTCAGATGCAACTGAACTGAACTGAGACAGCTGGTGGTCATACAACCTTGAGAACATAACAAATAAGAGCACACGGTACACACTAAAGCATGTACACACCTAACTGTGTGTTATTGAATTTCACCCCAATAAAAAATTCCATATTAAAAACAACTGAACTGATAAATGAAGAGATAGAGGGTAGATGATGAAAATGTAATTACAACAAAATATTAATTGTAGAACTTGATGGTGGGCACATGACTGCTTGCCACATAGCTCATCATCTTTCCTGTGTGATTCAAGTTACTCCTCATCTCTTGTCCAACTTGGCAAACGTACTTGACATCACGAACTGTACCGTTAGAATAGGTGAACTTTATGGTGTATGATAATTAACCTCAATAAGGTTTTTAAAAAGATTTTTCATCACAAAATCTTACAGAAAAAATGCAAAAGGCTGTAGATAAAATGAGGACAACAGGAGTTTTTTTTAAAATGATTCCCAAAATAATACTAGAAAGATGTGGCCAAAATGCTCACAGTGACTACAAAACAGACTCACCAAGACAGAGAACAGAGCTGTGGTTGCCAAGGGGGAGGGTGGGAGTGTGGGGTTAGCAGATGCCAACTATTACATAGAGAACGGATAAACAGCACGATCCTACTGCATAGCACAGGGACTATGTGCAATATCCTGTGATAGACCATGCGTGCCAATTCGCTTCAGTCATGGCCAACTCTCTGTAACTCTATGGACTGTAGCCAGCCAGGCTCCTCTGCCCATGGGATTTTCCAGGCAAGAATACTGGAGTGGGGTGCCAGTCCCTTTTCCAGGGGATTTTCCTAACCCCAGGGATTGAACCCGTGTCTCCTGCATTGCAGGCAGTTCTTTACCGCTGAGCCACCAGAGAAGCCAAAGAGAAAAGAATACAAAAAAGGACGTGTGTGTGTGTGTATGCTGCTGCTGCTAAGTCACTTCAGTCGTGTCCAACTCTGTGCGATCCCATAGACGGCAGCCCACCAGGCTCCCCCGTCCCTGGGATTCTCCAGGCAAGAACACTGGAGTGGGTTGCCCTTTCCTTCTCCAATGCATGAAAGTGAAAAGTGAAAGTGAAGTCGCTCAGTCATGTCCAACTCTTCACGACCCCATGGACTGCAGCCTACCAGGCTCCTCCGTCCATGGGATTTTCCAGGCAAGAGTCCTGGAGTGGGGTGCCGTTGCCTTCTGCAGGGGATTTTCCTAACCCCAGGGATTGAACCTGTGTCTCCTGCATTGCAGGCGGTTCTTTACCGCTGAGCCGCCAGAGAAACAAGAGAGAAAAGAATACAGAAAAGGGTGTGTGTGTGTGTGTGTATAAAAAACTGAATCACTTTACTATACAGCAAAAGCTAACACCATATTGTAAAGCAACTCTACTTGAATAAAATAAAAAACCAAAAATGCTCACAGTCAAAGTTTCTGCATGCTCTGTGTATGTGTTTTGCCAGGTGGTTGGGTGAGGTGTGGGGGTGCTTCCTTCTATTTGTTGGTGCTTTTCAAATTTTCCACAATAAACATATCACTACATAGTGGAACAAAGTTAAAAAACAAATAAGTGAAAAGTCCATCTCCATAGGGACTACATATTGCCAGTCCCAGGGAACTTTTAGAAATAATAATTTAGAGCTGGAAGATTCCGGTAGGTCAAATCTTTGTTTTCCATGTATTGCCCGTCCTACCCCTGGGTCAAAAGCTCAGACGAGGTTGATTCAAATTCTCTCATGGGTTCTGGTCTCCTGTCTACATTTGGCCATGGGTTCACGGGCCCTGGGCAGCCTGGGAATTTCGGCTGTCCCTCTGTGCCAAGCCCATCCTGCCTCTCTCACACGTGAGGACTCCCATGACTCTCTTCTGCCACGTCTCAGGCCTTAACTCAGGGTCTGGGGTCCCTTCCCACACGCCAGGGGCGTCAGGCTGTGCTGGCCAGTACCCACCCCTCCATTCCTCAGACTCTGAGCCTGCATGTCTGTAGCCTGCTCCCCACTCTCTCCACTTCAGCCTGACCCTCAGGCAGGCACCAAATGTCCTAACCATCTTTCAAGGTGTCACTTCAAGCCCCCAAACTTTCAACAGCTCCCCTGAGTCTATCAGACAAATGTAAGCCGTAGCCAGAGGCCTGAAGCCTTCAGCATCCCCCCAGCCTTAAGAGCACCCCCCTGAAAAGACCTGCCACAACCGCCCCCCCACCCTGGGCCAGTGCCAGGCCTGGGTCCTGACTGGTCTCACAGTTACTGAGCACTGGAGATGGGGCCAGAGTGACCGAGAAACTGAGTTTCAAATTTTGTTGAATCAGAATTAAATTTACAATTTAAACACTGACACTTGATTCACTTATCGGAAGATGCTTCAGTATGCCTGGGACGAGTTGGGTAGGTGAATCTGCTTTTTCAACTGGACACCTCATGACATCTAAATTGAGACCGACTACACCAGTGGGATTCCAGCATCTGAAATGAGATGTGCTGTAAGTGTAACCTACACAGTGGACTTTGAAGATTTCATTAAAAAAAAAAAGTCTTGTGAAAAAGAGAATATAAAATATCCTACAATTTTTATACCGATTCCAGGCTAAAAATATTTTATTGAGTTAAATAAAACATTATTAAATGCAGATTCACTTGTTTCTTTTTACTTTCTAAAATGTGGTTCTTAGAAAAATTTTAATGATATCTGGGCTTTATTTCTACTGGCGTGTGCTGCTCTAGAAAGAGGAGGAAGCAGAACTGTCCAGCGTGTCGGCTCTCAGACGCCCACCCCTCGGGGGAGCCCTCTTTGGACATTCAGCCCCTCCTCCAGGGCACTTGCTAGTAAGAGCTACAGCACTAAAGTACCCAAAACAGCAGGAACCACCTAAATTCCAAATTCTCACCCACAAGTGGACTTCTGTGGAGCCCCTAGAAATCACAAGATGAAAATGTTCACACACCAAATGTCACTGGGGGAGGTGGGGGGAAGCAGATACAGAAATCACAGATACAAAGAAACACTAAGGATTCATCCAGTAATGGCTGGGATTAAGGGCAATGTAAGTTTCTCTGTATATACTACGTTTCTAACTTCTCCAAACTTTCCACAATGCACACACATTATTTTTATAATTATGAAAACAGCAATGAAGATTTCTTTCTTTCACAACTCACCCTGGCCTGAAGCTCTCATTTCGTTTCCTTCCTTTCTGCATGAATGCCTCTTTGGGGCAGGCTTAGGGCCACCTCTTCCAGAAAGGTGTGCAAGGTCCTGGGACACTGAGTGGCTTGAGGGAGCAGGACTTGTAAGGGCCTGAGGATCCTCCTGCACATGTAGCCCAAAGGCCAGGCCCAGGAGCCCAGCCCAGGGCCCCATAGGGCCTCACCACTACTGCAACCCACCCTCCATACAGATGTGAGAGCTGGACCATAAAGAAGGCTGAGCGGCAAAGAACTGATGCTTTCAAACTGTGGTGCTGGAGGAGACTCTTGAGAGTACCTTGGACTGCAAGCAGTTCAAATCAGCCAATTCCAAAGGAAATCAACCCTGACTATTCATTGGAAGGACTGATGCTGTAGCTGAATACTTTAGCCACCTGATGCGAAGAGCCGACTCATTGAAAAAGATCCTGATGCTGCGAAAGATTGAAGGCAGGAGGAGAAGGGGATGACAGAGGATAAGATGGTTGGACAACATCACCGACTCAATGGACACGAATTCGAGCAAACCATGGGAGATGGTGAAGGACAGGGAAGCCTGGCATGCTGCAGTCCATGAGGTCGCAGTTGTACACGACTGAGCGACTGAATAACAACTTCATTTACGGAGCACTGTGTGTGCACAGTATTGGGCACTATGCCAAGAGATCACCACAAGCCTGGAAAGTCAGTCTCATTAACCCCACTGCACAGCTGGGCCAGCAGAGGGTTAGAGAGGGTTACAAGGTTACAGAGGGCCTTGCCAGGGTCACAGGCTGGTCAGCAATGCAGGGGATATTTGAACCCAGTTAGCCACTGACTCTGGGCCACTGGTTGTTGGCCACCTTGCCACGTGCCTCCACTGGCATCCTACCATTTCCCCGTCATTGGCATGTCAGGGCCAAACACACCTCTCTGTGGTCTCAGAAGGCCACTCCGCCAGCCACCCATGTGCAACCCCAGCCCACACCTTCCCCCAACAACACTTCCTCAAACCCGTGTGCCCCTTGCCCTACAGCTCCTCCTGACTCCTTTCCCAGTGGGGATGGGGGCAAGGGGGTCAGGAAGGCAGAGGCAATGTGAAGGACATCTCTCCTGGACCACCTCCCTCTCTGCACTCAGTCCTTCAACAAACATTTATTGAGGACGGACCACGTGCCAGCTAGGTTCTGTAGGGGTATAAACAGGAAGAAAGAACAGCAAGAATAGTTCCAAAGAATAGCAAGGAGAGATAAGAAAGCCTTCCTCAGTGATCAATGGAAAGAAAGAGAGGAAAATAATAGAATGGGAAAGACTAGAGATCTCTTCAAGAAAATTAGAGATACCAAAGGAACATTTCATGCAAAGATGGGCACAGTAAAGGACAGAAATGGTATGGACCTAACAGAAGCAGAAGATATTAAGAAGAGGTGGCAAGAATGCAAAGAAGAACTATACAAACAAAAAGATCTTCTCGACCAAGATAACCACAATGGTGTGATCACTCACCTAGAGCCAGACATCCTGGAATGAAAGTCAAGTGGGCCTTAGGAAGCATCACTATGAACAAAGGTAGTGGAGGTGATGGAATTCCAGTTGAGCTATTTCAAATCCTAAAAGATGATGCTGTGAAAGTGCTGCACTCAATATGTCAGCAAATTTGGAAAACTCAGCAGTGGCCACGGGACTGGAAAAAGATCGGTTTTCATTCCAATCTCAAAGAAAGGCAATGCCAAACAATGTTCAAATTAATGCACAATTACACTCATTTCACATGCTAGCAAGGTAACACTCAAAATCCAAGCTAGGCTTCAACAGTACCTGAACCAAGAACTTCCAAATGTACAAGCAGCTGGACTTAGAAAAGACAGAGGAACCAGAGATCAAAATGCCAACATCCGTTTGATCACAGAGAAACCAAGAGAATTCCAGAAAAACATCTATTTCTGCTTCATTGACTGTGCTAAAGCCTTGACTGTGTGGATCACAACAAACTGTAGAAAATTCTTCAAGAGATAGGAATACCTGACTACTTTACCTCCCTCCTGAGAAACCTGTATGCAGGTCAAGAAGCAACTGTTAGAACCAGACATGGAACAACAGACTGGCTCAAAATTGGGAAAAGAACACGTCAAGGCTGTATACTGTCACCCTGCTTATTTAATTTACATGCAGTGTACATCATGCAAAATGTCGTGCTGGATGAAGCACAAGCTGGAATCAAGATTGCCAGAAGAAATATCAATAACCTCAGATATGCAGACGACACCACCCTAATGGCAGAAAGCAAACAGGAACTAAAGAGCCTCTTGATAAAGGTGAAAAAGGAGAGTAAAAAAGCTGGCTTAAACCTCAACATTCAAAAAACGAAGATCATGGCATCCAGTACCATCACTTTATGGCAAAGAGATGTGGAAACAATGGAAATAGTGACAGACTATTTTCTTGGGGTCCCAAATCACTGTGGACAGTGACTATACCCATGAAATTAAAAGACACTTGCTCCTTGGAAGAAAAGTTATGACCAACCTAGACAGCATATTAAAAACCAAAGATATCACTTTGCCGACAAAAGCCTGTCTAGTCAAAGCTTTGGTTTTTCCAGTAGTCATGTACAGATGTGAGAGTTGGACCATAAAGAAGGCTGAGTGCTGAAGAATTGATGCTTTTGAACTGTGGTATTGGAAAAGACTCTTGAAAGTCCCTTGGACTGCAAGGAGATTAAACCAGTCAGTCCTAAAGGTAATCAGTCCTGAATACTCATTAGAAGGACTGATGCTAAGACTGAAGCACCAAATACTTTGGCCACCTGATGGGAAGAGCTGACTCATTTGATAAGACCCTGATGCTGGGAAAGATTGAAGGCAGGAGGAGAAGAGGACGACACAGGGCAAGATGGTTGGATGGCATCACCGACTCAATGGACCTGAGTTTGAGCAAGCTCCTGGAGATGATGAAGGACAGGGAGGACTGGCGTGCTGCAGTCCATGGGGTAACATAGAGGCGCACACGACTGAACAAATGAAAAAAAGAAGAAGGAAGCGGACCTGGCCCTCAAGCAGCTTACAGCTAGCAGACCTAACAAGCCACAACCAACCACTGCAGCGCCTAAGCGCGACAGCCGCCAGAGAGCTCTGGGGGTGGGGGGAGGTGCTGCCTTCCGGGGGACACACGCTGCCTGGTGAGGCTTCCGAGAGCTGGCCTTTGTGGGAGGCAAAGGCCTCATACACGGAGACCTGAGAGGAGGGTGGTCCTGGGGGCTGAGGGCACAGGCAGAGGTGCAAGGGCAGGAAGTGCTGGCCAGGTTGCCGGCAGGGCCAGAGGCCGGGCCAGGCTCCAGCTGCCCCTCCCGTCCTTACCTGGAGGGAGATCGCAGGGCTGCGTGTTGCAGGCCTCCACGGCCGCGGGCTTGGACAGCTGCAGGCTCCCGCAGTGACCGGGGGGCCCAAGGGCACAGACCACCTGGCGCCTTCGAGTGCCCGAGCTGCAGCTCTTGGAGCACTGCGGACCCCCGGGAGGAAGTGAGAGAGAATGCCGCATGGGGGAAGAGACCCTCAGGCTGGGGGGTGCCCATAACGCAGGGGGGAGAGGATGCCTGGTCCTACACATCAGACCCAGGGACCCGGACTCGACAGTGGGAGGGGGAGGGGGAGCGGGGAGCGGGGAGCGGGGAAGCGGGCGGGGCAGTACTCACTAGACCCCAGGCGCCCACGTGCCAGGCCTGGTCACCGAGTGGGGGACAGGCGTCATGCACACAGGGCTCAGTGAGCGTGGGGCGGTCCTCCAAGGAGCATGCCGTGGCGTGGAGCAGAGACCCCTCGTCACCCCGGCAGGTGACACTCCGCCTCCGGACCCCCGCACCGCAGCTGACAGAGCACTGTGAGGACCTGGCTGTCAGCGCGAGCTGGTCCTCACCCAGCTGGGAGCCCACCAGCCTGGCATGGAGGGCAGAGAGCACTCCATGGCCCCAGGCCCAGAGAGGGTGAGTCACCCTCCTGAGGTCACGCAGCCTGGACCACGGCGGCAGACACCCGGCTGAAGCGCGTTTTCCTTTATTTGCAACAGCTACACACATACCAGAAGAAGTGACCAGCAGCCTCTCCCTCGCCCCCCAAAACAACATGCCTGGCTCCTTCTCTCCCGCCCACCCTGGACCCTCGAGGGGGAGGAAAAGCGCTGGAGCAGGGATCCAAGCCCCTGCTCCTAGACCCAGCCTTAACCACAGCCTCCGGGACCACCTGGCAGGTCCCTTGTCTCCCAGGAGCCGCTTCCCCTGAGGATGACGAGCCTTCCAGTGTTGCTGGCGGCCGCCCAGGCCTGGCACCCAGCTCCTGATGGCCACCCCGTCCCAGCGGGGCCGGGCCTCACCTCGCTCCAGGGCTCCACGCTCCAGCCTGCGCAGCGCTGCAGGTTGCAGGCCCGCCTGCCTGGGGGCTTCTCGGGCAGACCCTCGCACTCAGCATCCTCAGCAGCCTCCTGGGCACCAGCCCCATCAGACGAGACGCAGTAGACGGAGCGGGACTGGAAGCCGCCCCCACAGGAGGCTGAGCAAAGCGTCCAGGGCCCCGTCTTCCAGCTGGTGGGGAGTAGAGCGCAGTGACGCGGGCCCTACAGCTAGGTCTGAGGTCCAGGCGTGGGGTGTGGGGGGGCCAGAAGCAGAGTGGGGACCCCCCCCCTCCCTGGCCCATCCTCTGAGCATCGGGCTGTCCAGGTGAGGGGCAAAGAGCCCTGCTCAAAGGCCCAGGTTCAACCCTGCTCACCCATTCCCACCACTGTGCCGGGTCCCTATAAACACAGAGCCTGGCTGCTTCTCTCCCAGGGCTCCCGTCCTCACAGGGACCCCTTTCTGCTTCTCACCGGGTCACCATCACCTCAGCCAGACTCCACTCCCTCCAGGTCTAATCTTAGCGGAGGGGGGCATCTCCCCGAGGGGCCATGCTCACCCACGTGTGCAGTGGCCCTTCCTGGCCCTGAGCCCCAGGACCTGGATGATAGGGCCACCCCCACCACATATGCAAAGCCAAGCCTACCACCACCCCAAGAGACCAGCTGCCTGCCACCAAGGCCACCAGGTGAAAGACGGCACAGCCCTGCAGGGAGCCGGTGGCCCGAGGATTACCTGCTCCTGCACACACGCTGGGCCCCGGCAAGGTGCCACGCTCTGGGCCGGTGCAGGTAAGAGGTCCTTCGTGCACAAACAAAGGCATCGCCGATGCCCTCAGGCCCCTGGGCCCGAGCCCTGGTCCACTCCTTGGCATCCGCCAATTCCCTGCCAGCTCACACCAATGGGGCCTCTGGTACCCATCCCCCCCCTGCCCCCCATCATTAGCCTGGACATTCTGGGCACTGTGTGGGCTCATGAGGGTGGACAGAACCACCCAGGGTCTCAGGCTCAGGCCCCCCACTGCCTCCTCCCCACGCCAGCTGCAGCTGTCAGGAGCCCCCCAGCCTCCTCCTTTTCCCAACACCTAAAGCAGCTAAAGGTCTCCACTCCCTTCCCACAGAAGAGCTTGGGCCCTGCCTGGGCCGAGGGGCTGGCAGGGCCTCACCGCTTGGTGTGTGGGCAGGGCTGCGGGCTGCAGGAGCGGCGGTCAGCCGGCCGCGGCTGGGGCTGGCACAGGTGCTCGGGGTAGACCTCGTCGTCCATGGTGCAGAACACCCAGCGGGTCTGCTGACCTGCAGAGGCCCGGCCACGGCGGGCAGCTGATCAGCCCACATTCTCCCAGCGCCTTCTCTGGGCCAGATGCCCTTCTGGACACACCCCGGGTATCACCTTGATCGAGCCTCAGTGACCCCCCTGGGTAGGTGGCCATCTCTGAGGCTCAGAGAGCTTTATCTGTGGGTGATGGAGCCCCTCTCTGACACTTGGTCACTGGCTCCAGGCCCACCCTCTGCCGCCAAAGGAATACTGTGTCCTAGGAGATGCCACTGCCTCCAGGAAGTCCTCTGGTTCGCTTAGCTAAAGTGGGGGCCCTTCATCGAGTCCCCCCACTCCTGGGTTTCCCCAAGGTGGCCCCCCGTGACATGTAGATGCTGCAACTACTTGTCCACCTCCCACCCACGGCTGGAGTGCCTGCAGGAGAGTGCCGAGCCCGGCACACAGCCACGCGTCCCCCCCCACCCCCAGGCCGCTGCCCTCACCTCCACCACATTCAGCGCTGCAGTCGCCCCACGAGCTGTGGCCCCAGCTGAAGCTGGGCTGGGGGGCGCCCAGGGGCAGGTGGTACTCAAAGCGCACGCCCGGGTTGGGCTCCTGGCTGATGAGCTGTGCAGGAGGATCCCCATTGAGGCCGGACGCCAGGGGGCTGCCCCTGCTCACCCCGAGGCCCTCCTGCCAGCCTCTCGGGGGCCAGGTGCTCGCCTCCCCCTCACCTCAATGACCAGGGGCTCCGAGGTGGGGCCGCGGGCGTGGAGCCGCTCGGGCGCCAGGTCCCCTTCCGCTCCCCGCTCATAGTGCAGGAGGGTGCTGGCCACGGGCAGGGCGCGGGCGTCCTCTATGGTCCAGTGCCCGTTGAGGTAGTATTCGCCACGGATGCTCTTCACCGCTGCGCCGGGGGAGCGCCCCAGTCAGCTGCCAGGGCAGGACCCACCTCTTGGCCACGGCCCCACCCCGTACCCCAAAACTGTCCTCACCCAGGAAATTCCTGCTGGCGGCCGCCTCCTCGATGCGGATGCTGGTGGCCCCCATGGGGACAATGAGGATTTGGTTGTAGCCTGGGGGGCAGAGACACTCTGGGACCACCAGCCACAGGGAAGAGTTGGCCCTGAGGCTGCCCGGCGCCCGGCCGCACAGGTGGGGTCGCCAAGTAGGACACAGCAGGCCAGGGGCTTGGGAGAGAATGTTTCGGAAGGAGGAAACAGCTGCACAGAGGGTGGATGGGTCCAGCACCCGAAATGATGGGAGGGGAGGGGAGGGGACAGATGGGGACGACTGGGGGGGGGGGAGGGCACGCCCAGGCATCACTGGAGAAGCGGGCAGAGACCCTAGTGTGAGCCCACAGGCTCCTGGACACGGGCTTGGTCTCCACCCTGAGGCGGGACCTCAGGCCTTTCATGGCCTGAGCACCAGATCACACCTTCTCAGGGCCGCGCCAGAGAGCAAGACACCACGAAGCGGCAGGCGACAGACCCCGGTCTGAACCGTCTGCAGACCCCGTGAGGACCCCACCTCTGCTGAGGTCATTGGCCTCAAAGACGCCCGTGACAGGGTAGCAGGTTGTGCCGTCACCCCCACATCGCAGGCACTTGTCCTCCTGCTTCGAGGAGTCCAGGTGCTGGTCACAGCCGACAGCCTGCCAGGCGGAGATGAGAAGAGACGCGGGAGACCCGTGGAGTCACGGTCACACCCGGACTGCAACCCTGGCCGCCGCGGAAAGCGTTTGCCGGTCTCAGGGGCCGAGTAAGCCCTGAACCTGGCCGGTCGCTGATCATCCACTCTCCTGCCTGCACGGCACCCGCGTCCCCTTCTCCAGCAGCCGCATCTCATTTTCCTTCGGAAGCCACCTCTCCCCCACAGCGTGTGGGCACGGCCTCCGGGCAGCAGCACTGGGCCGCTCAGCAGATTGTACGCTGTGCTCAAGGCGTTTGGGGGAGCCCCAGGTGAGGACAAGCCAGAGGCAACCCCAGGTCGCTGGAACTCCGGGGAACAGCGCCCCCTGCCCCAGGGGGTGGCCAGGCTGGGACGACTGAAGCCTGGGACTGCTGGGCCATCTTCACACCTCACCAGAGGAACTTGCCCAACCCTCAGCGGACCCAGAGGAGGAGAAAGCCGAGGGAGAAGGGATTTTCCAGAGCATCAGCCAGGCCCCCCGCAGCCAGCCAGCCCCTCCCTCAATAGCTTTTTTTCCCCTCAAGTCACTTTTAGTTGGGCTTCTCTAACTTGCCACCCAGAAGGTTCCTCTTATTGTTGAATTTTCAAAGGGCAAAGGTAAGAGGGCCTCAGGACATCAGTGATGCAAGGCACCTTAGAAGCTAGTCTTGAGAAGGCATCACGGTCAGGAGAGCCTCTGGTTGGGGGGCAGGTGGACAGCCTGCAATGAGCCCCAAACCAGCTGGTGGGGGTGGCGGGGACAACTCACCCGGCAGCTGCCATCCACACAGATGTCCCGTTTGCCAGGTTCACAGGGTGTCCCGTCTACAACGGCCTCCTTGTGCTTGTAGTAGAAGCTCTCCCCCTTGGGGATGCAGTTCAGCTCACATTTGTTGGGGGCTGCGGTAAGCAAGAGGGGAAAGGTGAGAGGCTGAGCGAGGTTTGAGGCCTGTGCAAGCAACAGCGAAGTGTGGGCAAGGGCTAGAAACAGGCACACACGTGTGCGCGCGCGCACACACACACACACACACACACACACACAGGGAGAGGAAGTCCTACACCATCACACCCCCAGTGGCTCAAAATCCCACCACCATCACAGGGGGAAAGGATCTTCTCCATGAAACAAATATATCTCTGGGAATCAAGTCAAGGGAAAATCCTAGAATAAGGAAAAAGCTAGACACTTGAAGTGGTCTATCTCAGCATTACTATTTATAATAGCCTAAGTGTCAGCTACTCTTTTTCTTTAATTACTATCACTAGATTATTACACCTGTGGATTGTGCTATTAAAAACTGTGATTATGAAGACTAGCCAGTAATGTGGTGAAATGTGTATAACAGAATGCAAAGTGATACCATGTAACAATCACAAATACATAAACCGAGAGAGAAAGTAATGTGAAAGGGGCTAGAAAGAAATGCTAGCAGCGATCCTATGAAAGAGGTGGGTTAAGGTAATTTTCTTGTTTTTTTATATTTATCTATTTGAATAATGCTAACAGGATTGTAATCACCTCCACCACAAAGAAGGCATCCCGCAGCAACCCTTTTTAAACTTTCCTCTGTTCTAATTTTTCTGTCATATTTTATTGTTGTTCAGTTGCTAAGTTGTGTCCAACTCTGTGACACCACAGACTGCAACACTCCAGGCTTCCCAGTCCTTCACCATCTCCTGGAGTTTGCCCAAACTCATGTGCATTGAGTTGGTGATGCCATCCAATCATTTGGTCCTCTGTCGCCCCCTTCTCCTGCCCTCAATCTTTCCCAGCATCAGTCTTCTCCAATGAGTCGGTTCTTAGCAAATTATTTTCAACATACCCTCACCTTAGGATCCAGCAGGAACAATGAATGCGAACTACTCCACTGGGGCCTCCACTGCTAGGCAAGACCCCTCCCCCAGCCCACAGCACATAAAATATTCACCGATTTGGAATCCAGAGAGTGCCAGAGAGTTTCCAGGAGGCATCTACAGTGAGCAGTGAAAACTCACACTGGGAAGGATTATCCTACAGCACATCTGACTCATCCAAAGAGTTTTAATTACACCGTGTTAGTGATTTTTGTTTTTGTTTTTCTTGAACTGTATCACTCTAAAAATTAATGACCTACACCCTCCTCAAAGTTACCCAGAGCATGGCCTCCAGCCCCAGAGATTCTGAGTAAATGAGCTCTCGCCACACACCACGGCCGGGGGCAGCCCAGCCTGCAGTTTGCCCAAACCTGGGCACAGGTCTCAACCCCCGCCCCGAGACTCCTGCCAGTGAGGAAGGCTTCAGCGAGCAGGCCAAGCAAGAGGCCGCTCAAAACTGCACAGAATTGGCCAACGCTTGGCCTGAAACATTGTATACCCAGGGGGAAAGGATGGAAAAACCTCAAAATGGTCACCAGTGTTATGCCCTGCTGGGAGTACAGGAGGTTTTTTTAAAAATATATTTGACAAGCATCTAGAATATGGTGAGGGCTTCCCAGACGGCTCAGCAGTAAAGAATCCGCCTGCCATGCGGGAGATGCAAGAGACACGGGTTGGATCCCTGAGTCGGGGAAGATTCCCTGAAGTAGGAAATGGCAGTCCACTCCAGCATTCTTGCCTCCAAAGTTTCATGGGCAGAGCAGTCTATGGGGTCTCAAAGAATCGGACAGGACTGAGCGATTGAGCACCATAATATGGTAGTGGGAATTGTGAAATGCAAAGTCAATGTAGCAAAGAGATTCCCCAAAGAAGGGGCCCAGCGCAGGACAACGCAGGGTGGGGCAGCAGGGGCACCCAAGGGACCGCGCACTTACCCCCATAATAGGGCAGCCACTTGTAGCGCCGCCCCTGGAACTCGTGGCTGTCGAACTCCGCGCACTGCTCCGCCCTGAAGTCACGGGCGCCCTCGGGGCAGCTCTGTGGGGAGGAAGGGGCTTGTGGGCCCACCATTGGGGTCCACCGTCCCCCTGCTGCAGCTTCGGGGAGGCGGGGGCCAGCCCCCCTCCAGGGGCCTTGGGCTAACGAGGCGAAGGTATCATTTCAGGTGGCGGGGTGAGGAAGCAGCTGCCGTGCACCCACGTGCGGGGGTAGGGGGCTTCCCAAGGCCACTATGTCAGCTGAGGAGGGAGTCCGGGAAGCTGTCCTCCACCCCCAGAGGCTATACCTTACCTCCGTGTGGCAAGAGCGGTGGCTTCGGGTGGGACCCACGCAGCTGGAGCCGCCATCTCTCCTGCAGGGCGAGAGCACTGGGAAAAGCCGAAGCCCCACGACCCAGCACCAGCCCCCTCCTGGGGCCCTCCCACAGATCCCCCCGACCCCCAGTTTCGGCGGTCACTGCTGGGCCAGAGGGGTGGCAGTGAGGAGGGAGCTCACAAACCCCCTTGCTGCTGCTAAGTCACTTTAGTCGTGTCCGACTCTATGCGACCCCAGAGTCGGCAGCCCACTAGGCTCCCCCATCCCTGGGATTCTCCAGGCAAGAACACTGGAGCGGGTTGCCATTTCCTTCTCCAATGCATGAAAGGGAAAAGTGAAAGTGAAGTCGCTCAGTCGTGTCCAACTCTTAGTGACCCCATGGACCGCAGCCTACCAGGCTCCTCCGTCCATGGGATTCTCCAGGCAAGAGTACTGGAGTGGGGTGCCATTGCCTTCTCTGCACAAACCCCCTTAGGCAGGTATAATGAGCCCTGTGTTGGGAGCTGGGAGAAGCCCCACCCAGAAGGCTAACTAGCCTAGAGCTTGGCTAACTTGGGGCCACTCTGCCTCTTAAAGCATATTACCAGAGAAGACTCAAATTCTGTCCTTGGAGATACAATAAGATGCAATATATACCCACTTGGTAAGGTTATTCTGCCATTTAAGGGGAGTAAATGTGGATAAGACACTTAGAACAGTATTTTCTCTCTGCCTCTTCAGGCAAAGTTTTCAGGAACCGTTAACTCCGACAGGCAGAGCATCATCACCCCTTCTTTTGCGCCCTATGGTACTCATCAGAGTGCAGGGCACACAGCAGGAGCTTAATAAGTCACTTAGAGTGAGAAACATCTATACTTGACAAAGGGGCTGACGGCAGAGAAACCGCACACGTTAGGAACTTTTGAAGATTATTCGTTAATTCAACAAGAATTCATTACACCTGCCGGCACTGCCAGAAAAGCTAGAGACTCAGGGGTGGATGAAGCAGGAATGGCACCAGCTCCCTGAAATAAGACTGTCGTTGCAATCAGAGTGTCAATATGCGGAAATGACTCGATTTCAAGTTCTCCACTAATGTTGCTCCCAGAACAAATCTGTCGTGTGGTAGGTTTTGCCCTTGTGGCCTCGGCACTGGCCCAGGACACCCAGCCCTTTTAACAAGCTGGCCCATCCCCGCCTTCCTACCTCTGGGTGTAGCAGGGGCGCTCCCGGAAGCTGACGCCCCCTCCACAGGTCCGGCTGCAGGGGCTCCAGTTACCCCAGGAGCCCCAGGTGTCACTCTGCCGCCTCACCTGGGGAGCCTAGAGGAGGACACGCTCAGCAGTGGGAGTCAGCACTCAGAGCCCCCACAACAGTGCTCCGGACTGCCCTGACACCCCGGCCTTGGAGCATCGCCCTCCCCTGCAAGGAGCCTGAGACAGTGTCTCGTAGAGCCGAGCCTTCAGGAGTGCAGCTCCCCCAGGCACCCCAACATCCTCATTTGTGGAACAAGCCAGCTTTCACCATAAGGAGCTGGGAGCCAACCCAGCCTTCCCATCCATCAGTGCCACCTCCCCCAGCAGCCCCTATGTGCCCAGTACAATGGGCAAGCCGCGGGCAGAGAGCTCTTCCCTGATCGTGTCTGACCATGACATCCCCTGGCTGGGCAGTCTGATCTGAGAACCAAGATGTCTACAAGCATGCCCTTGAATGAAAGCCCCCGGACCAGCAGAGCATGCCCTCCCAGGAGGAGATATAAAAGCGCAGGAGGAACAGCGTGTCATCACGTAGAACGGGTTCCACATGTGCGGGAATGGCGTCCACCTGCAGCGCCATGTTTTTGTAACTCTGGCCTAGTAAGAACTTAATCTAATCGTGTGCACGTGTGTGTTAAGATGGGGTGGTGATTTCTTCCTGCCAAGCTGTGGCAGGGGCCCCCAGGAATTCCCCAGTATCCATCCTCCCCTTCTCCCATTAAGAGAACTCTTGACTCCTAGCTGGATAGCTGGCTGCCCTCCCACCCAAGTTCATTTCCCAGGTTTCCTGCAGCCAACCACAGCTATGTCACTAAATTCTTGTCAGTGAGATGTACATGAAAGATGCTGGCTAACAGCCTTCCTTGTGGCTCAGCTGGTAAAGAATCCGCCCGCAATGCAGGAGACCTGGGTTTGATCCCTGGGTTGGGAAGATCCCCTGGAGAAGGGAAAGGCTACTCACTCCAGTATTCTGGCCTGGAGAATTCCATGCATTGTATATACAGTCCATGGGGGCGCAAAGAGTCGGACACGACTCAGCAAGATTTCCTTTCCTAGCAGTCTCCAGTACAGGCATATTTCAGAGGTACTGTAGGCTTGGTTCCACCAGAATAGAGCAAATATCGTGATAAAGCAGATCACACAGCTTTGGGGATGTCCCAGTACATGTGAAAGTTGTTTGTACTATACTAGAATCTATTAAGTGTGTGATGGCATTAAAAATAATGTTATGTACCTCAATTAAAAAGTACTTTATTGCTAAACAAATGCTAGCTTATCACCCAAACTTTCAGCAAGTCATAATCTTTTAGCAGTGGTAACATCAGAGATCATTAATCAAACACCACCATAACAAACATAATAATGATTGAAAAGTTTAAATATTTTGAGAATTAAAAAAATGTGACAAAGTGAGCAAATGCTGTTGGAAAAATGACATTGATAGACTTTCTCAACACAGCAATTTGTTAAAAAAAAAAGCAGTAGCTGCAAAGCATAATAAAACAGTGTGCCTGTAATCTCCTTAAGAGATAGCTTGCGTGTTCATTTGTCCTTTTTCTTAGTCCTCCTATACGCCTTCCTGCTGGTTGGAAATCAGATGGATTTGGAGCAGCTGGAATTGGAGCAGCCTTCGAAACCATGTGGTAATTTAGGAACAGAAGTTTCAAACACTGAAGCAAAGGTACAAGAATCCTGGAGCACTTGGTGAGACAGAACATCCCTAGATTTCTGACCATGCGTGTTTATGAGAGAGAGGAATCGGGTCTTTTTTTGTTGAAGGACTGTCATTTGGGACTCTAACAGGAAAATAATCCTAATGGATACAGGTTCCCGCCAGAAGGATCTGGTACCCTGCAGCTGACTTCAGAAGTCCACATGCTACACATATATTCTCTCATCTACTCCACAGAACAACCTGACCGTCCCGGTGCATGGAAGAGAGACGCAGAAAGAGAGGGAGCCTCCAAGGACAAGTGGACACAAAGGTGGGCTGGCTGCACTCCAGGCCTCTGCTCTTGTACCAGGTTCCCACCAACCTCACCTGGGGAACCAAGGACACTGGATGAGGCCTGAGGATGGACGGGTGTTAGACTTGCTTTCTTGCTGGGAGGCAAAACGTGGATTGGAAATATGCCCTGTTTGTTTGAAGGGGACTTTATTTTAGGGCATCACAACATAATAATCTCTAGAGGAAAAAATCCCTGCCATTTTCCCTAGAAAGAACTCAAGTTCTCATGCGGAAAAGCAAACTGTTCCTCACGTAGTGAGCCTCCCGCCACGACCCAGGATCTCGGGTGAGAATGAAGGTTTGCACACACGCAGATTACGCCCAGCGCTCTTCTAGCACCCCGGTGCCAAACATCTAGTTATCCTTGGTTTATAATAAAACCATGAACCCTGAATCAGAACAACTCATACACGTTTGCTGAACCACATACAAAACCAAGAAGGAAGGGCCAACCAGATCAAAGTCTGAGCTTTCACTCTTCCAATCATTTACCCTTCACTTCTAAGTGGGCCAGATCTCTGAGCTTCTAAAAACCAGGATATAAAAGTGTTCTGTGAAATTTAAACTGAAATTTACTTGATCAGTTCCTATTTTAAAGGGGAAGGTATTGAGTGTCGGGGGTAGAGGGTGACTTTCCAGGGATGATAAGCACCTCCCCCCAGACTTATTGCTGTAAAAAGTGAAAGTGTTGGTCGCTCAGTCCTGTCCGACTCAGCGCAACCCCATGGACTGTAGCCTGCCAGGCTCCTCTGTCCATGGGATTCTCCAGACAAGAATACTGGAATGGAAAGCCATTCCATTTTCCAGGGAATCCTCCCAACCCAGGGATCAAACCCAAGTCTCATGCGTTGGAGGCAGATTCTTTACCATCTGAGCCAAGAGAGAAGACTCATCACTACAACATAAGAATTCTGGAAGCGGTCCACGGGAACTGCAGCTTTCTTATCCTGCCGGCCTCGTCCAAGGTACTAACTACCTCTGACCAAGGCCTGCTTAGATGGCAGGCTCACTCCTGAAGCAGGAGACCTGAGCCCCCCCATCCACCCTTCCTTGCCCCCGGGTTGGGCCCGTGGGTGTGCACAGGCAACAAGGGGCGCCCTGCCACCCAGAGCAGTCAGGACGGAGAGAGGCGGGCATCCGAGAGCCAGGCCCGGTCCTGTAGTCTGTCTGGCAAAGGGAAGCGCATTCAGCCAGGAGCAGCACAGACACATCGCGTTTCTCTGTAACTACCTGAACCATGAGCGGCATGATGGTGTGAAGCCAGAATAAGCTGGTCTGGTCCACCCTCACTTGGGCCTGTCCTTACCTGCCTCCTGCCACCCTCCACGTCCCACCAGCTCCTCCTCCAACTCAGGAGCCCCCCTTCCTGCCGCACTGTTCCCGGGGGATCACCTGCCCAACGTGCTGGGGTGGGAGTGGAAACAGAGCGGAGGTAAGGAGAGTGGAAGACCCCTGTGAAGCCTCCCCTGACCACCCTGGGGTAGGGGCAGCGAGAGGCGTGATGTGTCAGTCCTTCTTAACTGACTATTCATTCTGCTCCAGCTGATCCTGGTCAGCACTGAGAATGATCCCGTGAAGGCTTGGGGATGGTGGAGAGGGGGTTCCACAACAGCTAGAATCAGCCTGGGTCTTGGGGGGGGGGGTCCTGCCCCCAGTTACAACCAGCCTGGGCTATGGAGGGGGGGTGGGTCTCATCCCCAGCTACAAGCAGCCTGGGCTACAGGGAGGGGGGCATCCCACCCCCAGTTACAACCAGGTTGGGCTATGGGGGAGTAGGTATTTCACCGGCTAGAACCAGCCTGGGCCATGGGGCAGTCCCACTCCCAGCTAGAACCAGTTTGGGCCACACCCTCCCCCAGACAGTGCAGCGGGTAAGGCGGGGTCCCAGCCCCACGGACCCAGGTGTTTCTAAGGGAGAAAGCACTTAACAGGCCCCAGGTTACTTTGGATCCCTCATTTCACCTGCATGCAACCTGTGCGTGGGCATCATTACTCTCCAATTTAAAGGAATCTAAGATCTGATGATTACTAAGCATCACACAACTGCTGGAGGTGGTTCTGAGTTTCATCCTGGTGTCCTGACACTCACCACGCCCCCCTCGCCCCCTGAACTGAGACCTCAGTGCAGCCAGGCCCGAGGAGGAAGCCTGTGGCGAGGACCTCAGGGTGTGGCTGAGGAAACAAGGACCCCAGCGTAGCAGAGGTGACCTGGGGCCGCCAGAAGGTGGTGAAGGGGACATGACGAAGGGGGCTCTACCCCACTCTCTGCTCTGACTGAGGCCCACGCCAAACCCACTGCCCACTGCTGACTCCCACCCCTGCCTGCCCCCTGGTTGGAGGAGGACTTCTCAGCCTTCACTCACATTTCCACAAAGACGGCATCTCCCTGCCCTCTCCCCAAGCAGTGAACAGTGTGGGTCCTTTCTCAGGGGTCCTCCTGCAGGGCTCAGGAGGCAGGGCTGTGAGTCTTCCCCCATGGAGCCCTCTCTAGGGGGGACGGAATCTGTGCCCTCCATCCTGTCAATGCGGGAGAAGCCGGGCAGGAGCAGCTCCAGGAACAAGCCCAGCTCAGCACACGGTCCCCTCCCCCAAGGTGGGGCCTGTGATCTAGAAGATCCCCTGCACCTCCTTGGACCAGGTAGGTTCTCCAGGGAGCCTTGTCCCTCAGGCCCCTGGTAATGAAACAGTTACTGTGATCACCAGCTGCCTTCCTGTATCCACTCTGAATTTCCACTAATGCGGTAGCTGCTAACCACATGAGGCTGTTTAAATTCATGTTCATTAAAATCAAATAAGGGCTTCCCTGGTGGTCCAGTGGTTAAGGATCTGCCTGCCCAACACAGGGGACACTGTCTCGCTCCCTGGTCTGGGAAGATTCCATATGCCACAACTGAGCCCGAGTGCCACAGCTTCCAAAGCCTGTGCGCCCTGGAGCCCGCGCTCAGCAACGAGAGAAGCCAACGCAATGAGAAGCTCACGCATCGCAAGTAGAGAGCAGCATGCACGTAGCAACAGGCTCAGCCCAGTTAAAAATAATTTTAAAAATCAAATAAGATTCAGTTCCTCCGTTGTACTGACCACATGTCACGTGCTCAGTAACCACATGAACCCAGCGGCTCTTTTTTTGGACAGCACAGATGCAGAGCATTTCCATCATCTCAGAAGGTTCTATTGAACAGCCCTGCTCTAGATGCTCCAGGGGCATCTAGATGCCCCAGTGGCAGTGGAGAAGGGGCCTGGCAGAGCAAATCTCTAGGTCCAAATAGCCCCCATTGAGAGGCAGCATAGTTTGGTCAATAGGCAAGTGGCAGACGTCTGGTGGGATGGCCATTTGGCCCTGCTCCTTAGCTGGTACCAGCAAGGACCCCTCTTTCTTCCACCGTGATAGACCACCCCTCTGGACCTCCGCAGCATTAGAAGCACGCCCAGAACCTTCTGAAGGAGGGGTGGAGCTGCTGGGAAGTTGCCAATTCTGAGAACTGTTCCCTAAAGCCCAACGGGAAGTTCCGGGCACCAGAGGTTGCAAGGTCCCACCCGTCTTTGAAGGCGCTCAGGCCGAGGGTTCTCTTCCCGCCCCACCATCCAGACAGTGGCCTTCTCTTGGGGACGGCGCCGCGGCCACTGGCTCCAGCCATAGGGGGCTCCGACCCGCGACGACCCTCGGCAGGGTTGGGGGCGGGAGGAAGGGTCGCACTCACCGAGGACCCGGGCGCTGGGGCCAGCAGCAGGGGCAGCAGCAGCAGCAGCCGCATCTCGGTCTGGCCTGCGGGAGAGGCGGGGATTGGAGCGGGTGGGGCGGGGAGGAGGCGCCGCCCCACCCATCCGAGCCCCGCGCTCCCCGCTGGCTCCCGGGCCAGCGCGGAGGTGGCGGCCAGTCCTCTCCCATAGGTGACCCGCACACCCGCAGAGGGACTGGAGGGGACGCTGTGGGTCGCAGTGGAGGGTCTTATACAGTGAGGGAGGGCAGGCCCGTCTACAACTGGCTTCTAAAAGTTCAAGAGTAACCTGTTTCAGGGTTTCAGAGGGAAGAAAGAGCAATTCAAGAGCAGTGGTTAAAAGACAGGAGTTCAGAATCAAGGCATTCAGACTCACTGTTTTCATTTAGCAAGAGATCCTTTTTTAAAAGCCATTACATCACTTGTTTAAAAACTCGTAAAGACTTTTTAAAAAGTCTCTGCAGGTACTTTAAAAACTTAGCTTAAAAGCTTTGAATATGTTGATTGTATCTTACTTTAAACCCAAGGCAGCATTTCTCTGCTCCGGAGAAGCTCCACAAGCAGGCTCCCTACGCCGGTGGGCGGGGGTGGGTGTGTGTACAAAATGCCTGTGTGATTTGGCGTGTGCGAGTGCAGTAGGCACAGAGGAGAGTGCAGTCTGGTGCGTGTGCGCAGTATGTGTGCAAGTGTGTACATGTCACCGTGCTGGAAAATGACATCCTCAATGTGCCCCTTTCAGTACCAAACATTAAGCAAGTGCTGACTTGTATGCTTAAGTTTTAAAATCTGTAACTCCACCATGGTTCTCTTTAATTTTCCTTAATCATAAAATGACTTCAGTTTACAAGAATAAAATAGAGCGTACTAAGCCAAGTTCAGCCAAATATAACCTGGCACATCTATACTGCCTTAATTTAGTACCAAGAGTGATTCATGTAGGCATCATTTTCACTGCAAACCAGGGGTTCCCGGGGCTGGCGGTGTGAGGGGTGGAGGCGCCGCCTGGGCTCTGCGACCCCTCGTGGAAGAGCCGCGCGCACGAGGGGAAGCCGGGGTGCCTGGGAAGCCGCGTGCTAGGGCTAACGACGAAGATGCTGCTTCTCTGAAGTAGAGACTGCCTTCGCCGGGCCGGGACGAACGCAGCTAAAGGAGAGACAGCAGGGAGGACAGCAGAAAAGAACTTAAGGAATTGCTACTGGGAGCGGCGGACGCGAGCCGAGTGGTCTGAGGCCTCGCACCGGACGTCGGGTCCCCGCGCGCCCTTCCCGGTCTCCACGCGAGGATGTCCCCTGCGCCCGCCTCGCGGGGGAACGGGCCCGCTGCAGCCCTCGAGGCGGAGAGGGGCGGCACCCGGCTCGGGCGCTCCAGGGCCACAGCCGCGGCAGCACCAGGGAAGAGGGGCGCGCGGTCTCCGGGACTCTGAGCTCCGGAACGGCACCCGACGGAGGGAAGCGCAAGGAGGCCGGAGGGTTGGCGTGGGCCGCCCGGGGTTGCGTCTGTTTCAGCCCGGCCCTCTGCCCTCCGAGGCTTCCTTTTCGCTCACGACGTCCCCTATCCCGGCGCGAGGGCCGCGGCGCGGAGCGGGCTCCGCCCCAGCGACGAGCCGGAGGCAGGTCTCCTCCCAGGACCCCCACTTCCTCCGACACTGCTCTCCCCGGCAGCCGGGTTGGGGGGTGGGGGGCGGGCAAATTCCTGCAGCAGCCTGGAGGTGAGCCGCCCCGGGCCCACGGGTCCTGTTCCTTCGCCTCCTACCTGTCTCCAGGAGCCTCGCGCGCGCGGGACCGGCGGGGCCGCTCCGTCGGTGGCCGCCCAGCCCCTCTGGGAGGTCGGCCCGGTCGCCTGGAACGCCGGCGGAGGCTGGGCTTTCTCTCTTCGCCGCTGGCGGGCTTCCTCCCCGCCCATCTCCCCCTCATCCAGCTCTGCTGTCATCCATCCCCGGTGACCTGCGATGCCCAGGGCCTCCGTCCTTCCTGTCTGTGCCGAGGGTTTGCCCTTCATATTTGCTGCTGGCACCAGTCCCATTTCCTCTGTACCCGAGTCTTCCCGGTGTGTGCCATCCTTCCTCCGCACCCGCCTTACAACAACACAAACCAGTGTGCAGCCGCCTGTCTTCTACCCCTGAATTCTATGCATCCTCACGACCATTTCCCACTGCCTACAATGCCCTCAGGAAACCCTCTCTGACCAGGCAAACTCCTACTCATCCAAGATCTGCCCAGCACCATCCTCTCTAGAAGCCTCCCAACACCACCCCAGGCAGCTGGTGGCCCCCAGGCAGCTGGTGGCCCCTGCTTCCTCAATCTCCACCTCTGTCTGCTGCAGTTCTCTGGTGCAATGCAACACCCTGCCCGGCTCGGAGTCTCCCTAAGTCAGCTCTGAGGTCCCTGACGGTAGAGCCTGCCTCCCTGTCACCTGTGTTCACAGCACTAGTTGGGATCAAGTAAGAGCTAATTTTCCTTCCTACTTGTCTTTCTTTTTCTTAACCAAGGCACTCTGTCTTGTCTGTCATTTCTGTCTTGGAAACTGGAAATCACCTATCCTCAGAAAACTAGCCCTGATCCTGGGACACGTCGGAGGTGGGGTGATCACGAGGCTGGCTCCTTTTCCCTCATCCTCTTCTGCCTGCAGCCCCTTTCCTAACCCAGCTGTTGTGCCTTTCCCCTCCTGGCCTTCTGAGGAGCAGGGAGCTTACCCCCTCTTCAGACCTGCAGCTCCGGCAACTCATCTCCTTGGACCATCACGGATGCTCAGACAAAATGCTTAGTAAAACCTAAGCATGTGAAATTTGGCCCATTACTTACCTATCCTGAAGAGAGGAGATGCAGCGGCTGTGCAGCTGGGGCCCCCTGGGGACGTGTGTGAATTCTTACACAAAAATAAAGCTTGGCAGAGAAAAGGAAGTGGGATTACCCCAAACCTCTTTAGAAAAGGAAAAATCATTTCTCCCATTCAAAAAGCCCCACTCCCTGCTTGCCTCAGCCAGGAATTTTCTGAGCTTGGTCAAAGGTCCCTGTTAAGAGGGAGGCAGCTGCTTCTCTTCCTGTGGGGGGTGGGCGGCCAAAGCACCTTCCTGAGCTGTTTCTGCGTTTCCTCTCTGATCCCTTCTGCTCAGAGGCCCAGATTTCTTACCCCACACCTCAGCTGCAAATGAGACCCAGAGGCTGGACAGGCAGGTCCCTGGACCCACCAGCCGGGCTCTAGCCGTTCCTGGTTAGGGCAGGCACTTGCCTTTAAGCCTCGCGTCCCACCACCTGAGGGACTTGGTGACCACAGGACCCAGCACACACAGTCCTAGTTCAATAAAAAGAACGGTATGCACAAAAATGTGGTGGTTTAGAAACAAGATTTTTTTTTCCAGGAAAAAAGTGTAAGGCCTCTCCCCTGGTAAACCCTCCTCCGCCCTGGTCCTGTCTCACCCGCTGTGGCTGCAGCCTGGGGTGGCAGAAGGAGCACTGCCCTGAGAGGCAGACAGCTGGGCTGGGAGCCTGTCTGCTTCTCACTGTGTGTGAACTCAGGCAAGTCATGTCACCTCCTTAAGTCTCAATTGCTCACTTGAGCTCACGTCGAGGGTGGTGGAGAAAAGTCACTGGCTTCTATAAAGCCGCTACTAGGTGCTCAATAAGAGTGAGTTCCTTCTGTCCCGTGCTCGCTCCCTCCACCTCTATCCCGAATTCCCTACATCTTGATCATCCTTGTAGATTGCAGATCCAGGGACACAGCCAAGAAATGAGTGGCCAGACCTCTCTGTGAGGCTGGGTTGGGATCGAAAGCTGGAGAGGAGGGAGATGGCAAAACCCCAAGAGCTCCTGCAATGCACCTCCTCCAGGAAGCTTTCCTTCCACCCACCTGCACTCCCATGATGCAGGGTTCTCCTAAGTGCTGTGAACCACTACAGTGACACATTTGTCTCTCCTCCTCCCTCTAAGTTGTGAACTTTGCAAGGGCAGGGGTCTGTGTTTTTCCTCTTTGGACCCTGCACCAGGGCTCCGTAGTGCTCCTCCAGAGAGTGGTGCAGGAAACACGGTTGACTGACAACCTCCTGCTACCACACCTCAGGTCTACACCACTCTCTGAAGGCTCTCTTTGCCCCAGATCCCTTCTGTTTATCTTTGCTGCATTTTCCCCCAGTAGATCTCTTGTGCATCTAACCTCACCTGACACATAGGCCTCTTGGTTACAAACCACAGAAAAGGACATAGCTAACTGAGAAAAGTTTGTCAGAGGAAAGATACTGGGAGCTCATAGACTTGACAAGAAGCTGGAGAATCAGCACAGAAATGGGTTGGAATCACAGAAGTAGTCACAGATCATGGCCCAGGACCAGTGCTGGTTAGGACATCCCGCTGGATACTTGACTGCTGCCACCACCACTTTTAGGCAACACGGACCCTCGTTGCTCCCAGAAAAAAGCCCCAAATGGCCCTTGCAGACTCTAGCCCCAACAGGAGCATGCTGGCGCCCCGACCTCCAGGACCTGGGAAACAAGACTTGGCAGGTCCCCCAGATGGCAGTTCAGGCGCTGGGTTACCCCAGAGAAGAAATGTGGCACCAGCAGTCGGCTAACCTGAACGTAGAGAACACTGCTTCTCTCCTTTCTGCTCTTTTGGATGGTGGTTTATTAATTTACTCATTCCTTGAATACCTGAGTGCCTACTCTGCTGGAAGCTGGGGAGAATAAACGTCTAGTGGTGATAAACATTTAACAACCAGCTCCCTGGAGGACAGAAAGTACTGCTTTGTAGCACTGATCAGTTTCCATGGTGTAAACACCCCATGGCTGTTTTCAAGCTACTGAGGCAGTGTCACTAAACATAGGGTTGCACTGTCAACTCTCCCCAGCCATGGGCGCCAACACACAGACTGTCCTGCCCTTGGGGAGTTTACCTTCCAGTGAAAGTGAAAGTCAGTCGTGTCCAACTCTTTGGGACCCCATGGACTATAGGGTCCATGGAATTCTCCAGGCGAGAATACTGGAGTGGGCAGCCTTTCCCTTCTCCAGGGGATCTTCCCAACCCAGGGATCAAACCCAGGTCTTCCGCGTTGTGGGAGGATTCTTAACCAGCTGCACCACCAGGGAAGCCTGACCTTCTAGTAGGGCACTGCCTTCTACCCTGTGTGTTACCTTAGAATAAAACAAATCTTACAACCTGAATATTCAAATATTTCCACTATAAACGTCACAACCAGACTTCCCTGGGGGTCCAGTGGTTAAAAATCTGACTGCCAATGCAAGAAACATGGGTTTGATCCCTGGTCCAGGAAGATCCCAGATGCCACAGGGCAACTCAGCCTGTGCACCACAACTCCTGAAGCCCGAGCCCTCTAGAGCCCGCAAGCCACGAGAGAAGCCGGCACAGTGAGAAGCCTGTGCATTGCAACTAGAGAGTCACCCCTGCTCACTATGACTAGAGAAAGCCCACACTCAGCAGTGAAGACCCATCACAGCCAAAGCAAACCACAACACAACCTATGCTACAGCCCACCAGGAATCCAAAAGGAGAAAAGAACACTTCACATTTGAGGGTTTTTCTGTGTCTCTACTTCTCCCCACCCTCCAACACATGTATCCATTTCCCTTGATAGAGTCATTCAAAGTTGGGGGGTGGGAAGGAGAATGTTCAAACCCTCAAGTGCCAGTCTGCACCTACTCCCCCCAACCCCACCCCACCCTGGTCTGTGTTCCTGGGATGTCCTTCCATGCCCTGGGGCCTGAATCCAGGTCCTGGGATAGGAACCCAGGAGGAGGTTGAGGCCTTGTGAAGACCCCAGGGTGTAGGCAGGACGCTGCCCGGGGTGGAAGAGCCCCAAGAGCAACAAAAAGCAGGACGAGAAGTTTTCCAGAAAATTTGTCCTGATTGGCTCCCATTCAGCAGCTCTGTTCTCAAGATCTCATCCTCTTCCTTCCACATGGACATATCTCACACACAGACACACACACACACTGCAAGAATCTGGGCTACAGTCTCCTCTGGAGAAGCCACTTGCCTGAACTTCTGGAGACATGCAGGGAGCTGGTGTGAGGAGACCCCCTTGTCCACTGTCTGCTTCCTGAGGGAGAGGGGCTCTAGCCCAGGCCCCTAAAAAGGACAATGTGGGGTGCGGTGTGGGGCTAGCCCCAGAGCACAGGCCTGGAGGGTCCCTCCAGCCTCTTAGGGGTGGCCCGGCCTCGAGCACAGCTGGCGTCTCGTGGCTGAGCAGGGTGGCCTCGGTGCCTCAGTCGCTGCAGAGAGGGCGAGGTGTCATTCTCTGGGTGTGGTCCTGACGTGGGCTGGGCGTCCCCTGCTCCGTGCCTGCTGTCCCTGTGGGCTGTCCTGGGTTGGGACCCCCAGAGGCCAGCAGCTGAGACTCCTGCAATCCTCTCCCCGTGGTCACTCTCCACTTCTCTCCCAGGGCACTTACCTCCTCTGCTGCTTCAGCTGCTGTGTTTGGATGATTCTCACCCAGAAACTGAGTGATGTCTGTGCCTTGTGCCAAAGTCAGAGAACCAGCGCCCTGCAATTCAGAAACAGCCTTTCCAACACTCAACTCATCGAGGGGAAAGTACTAACTTTTATCTTCTTGCTGTGCTTCTCTAACCAGTACATTTCAGACCCGTTACCTTGGACTCCTCTTTCAGAGTATAATGCTACTTAAAGATAAGGGGTGGTGTGGTTACTTCTGCATTAAAACAGGCACACAGACATACAATGTGGATTAAGCTTGAGAATATGATGCTAAGTGAAATGAGCCAGAAACAAAAAGATAAACATCGTGTGATTTCACTTCCATGAGTTACCTAGAGAAGGCAACTTCCCAGGTGGCGCTAGTGGTAAAGAAGCAGCCTGCCCACGCAGGAGACTTAAGAGACGCCGGTTCCATCCCTGGGTCAGGAAGATTTCCCTGGAGGAGGGCATGACGACCCACTCCAGTATTCTTGCCTGGAGAATCCC